TAGGCCGCGAAGGCAAGACGCAGACGCTAGAAGGGGAGGAAAGAGGCCGACTCAGGCGATGGGAGCGCCCACCGCTGGAAGAAGAACCCCGCGGTGGAGACGAAGTGCAGCACGTGACGCGAGACCGCCCAGGTGAAGACGGTGACGACGACGTCCCCGGGGACGTAGACGTCGTCAGCCGGGGGGCACTCGGGGGGGGGCTGCCGCGGAGTTCATCCCAGAGCGGTGGGAGACCCTCTCGCCCGAGTCGGCGGCGTACCTGCCCTTCCAGCGGGGGCCGTTTGCGTGCGTGGGCAAGGCGCTGGCCATGATGCAGATGCGGATGCTGATCAGCTGCGTGGCGCTGCGGTACGATGTTGCGTTTGCGCCAGGCGAGGACGGGGGGGCGTTCTGGGAGGAGGCGAAGGAGACGTTGACTTTGTGGCTTCCGGCGTTGTATCTGGTTTTTAGTCCTAGATGTTGACATTGGGGAGCAGCATTCCGTCAATAAATGGCGTTCTGTAGTCGATTGAGGGAATTTAAGGCGTCCACGAGACTTACGAGATGCACTTGGGAGAGGAACCCCGAGGCGAGAGACTGGGTTAGCGAAGCTGCAGGCTGCGACAAGTGGTTGCGGATTCTTTGTTCTTGAGATGACTGCCGACGATTCCCGCATAATGAAGTGAGATGGGATGCTCAATTTGAAGTACTACATACACTAATGTACAACGAATCATGTGTACCTCATCTGCCCATATCGAAGGACGGATGCCTACGCTGACACCTTCTTGCCCTTGGGCATTCTCGCCACCCAGTACAAGACCAACGCCGCAGCCACGTTGAAAGCGACATACACCCACATGATGCCGAAATTGCGCCACCGGGCGTCGTAGTCCGCATGAATGGCCGCCAGATACACGTTCGTCTCCTTGACCTTGCAGTACCGGCAGTTCACCACGGCGCTCGACTCCAGCAGGTACCCCCCCGCCGCCGCGATATGCCCCGCCATGTACTCGCCGCACGTTTGGCCGTCGGGCGGGTTGAAGGTGGTGAACTCGTTGCTCGCACAGGTCACGTCCACATTCGCGAGCCCCGTCGAGAGGACAGCCGAGACGTAGTACGAGAGCGGCGAGGCGCGGTACAGGAAGATCCAGAAGCGGGGCATCTGGTCCGGGGAGGCCAGGACGCCGCAGAAGAAGAAGGCCAGGACGAACATGAAGTTGGCGATGTTGCCGCCGTCGTCGGCCGAGCCGGCGAACGAGATGCAGAGGTGCGCGAACGTGGACACCCACAGCAGGAACACCCAGAAGAGGAGCCACATCAGCGCGCCGCGCTCGGGGCCCTGACCGGCGGCGGCGGCGTTCTGGTAGAAGCCCACGGGGAAATAGAACAGCGCCCACATGAGCACGGAGGCGAGCGTGTACCAGGGGATCTCGGCCAGGATCTGGCTGAGCATGAACACCTTCCAGCTGTACGTTTTGGCGGGCCTCTCGCGCGCCTCGTAGAGCGAGCGCTGCGTGATGAAGTGCGGGAATTGCTGGTCGACCAGCTGCCCGACGATACTCATCAGCTCGAAAATCGCGAACATCTGGTTCTGCAGGCCCTGGATGCTCAGGGGGGAGTTGAGGAAGACCAGCCCGATGAACAGACTGGTGGCGGTGCAGAGGAGGAGTTTGGAGTAGATGTACGACGGGGTGCGCCATGTCTGTTGGAACGCGCGTTCTGTGACCACGAGGAACTGGCGCCAGAGGGGGGTCGCGAATTCGTCGTACGAAGCGGAATCGTCGTTGCCACTGGCAACCGAGTCTTCTGCTGAGCTCTTGGACCGGAGCTGGGCCAGTTCGCTCTGGACAGTGCGGTATTCGGGGCTGGAGCGCCATGTTTCGTGCCAGTCGACTTCCGAATAGCTGCCGGGTGCAGCACCGATGGCCTCGAGCATCCACTCGCCCGGGTTGGCGCCGGGTGGACAGGGTTTGGCACTGTTGCGCTCGAAGTAGTCGATGAGGGTCTTTGAATTGTCTCCGATTTCACCTGGGGGTAAGTATGTTAGCGGACTTGGTTTGAGGAGGGCAATCATCATCCGTTGCTGAGGAACAGAACATACCGAAATAGACCGTCTTGCCCCCCTCAGCAAGTAAGAGCAAGCGATCAAACCGTTGGAATAACATCGCAGAGGGCTGGTGGATGGTGCAAATGATCGACTGGCCCGCTTTAGACAGTTTGGTCAGCAAGTCTAGGATAGCCCAGCTGGTTTGGGAGTCGAGGCCCGACGTGGGCTCGTCAATAAAGAGCAGTAGCGGTGGTTTAGCAGCCAGTTCGATGCCAATCGTCAGGCGCTTGCGTTGCTCAACATTCAGGCCTTCACCTGGCACGCCAACCACCGCATCGGCATACTCCTGCATGTCGAGCAGCTGGATGACTTCGTCGACATAGGCCAGTTTTTCTGTCTTTGGGACGCTCTCTGGCTGGCGAAGGAGAGCGGAGAAATTCAGAGCCTAAACAGAACGGTAGTGGTCAGTTGAAAGGAGCCCGTTTGCTGGACTTTGAGCACTCACCTCACGAACCGTACTCGTCTCAAGATGCAGATCTTGCTGTTGCGCGTACCCGGTCCTGCGCTGGAAGCTCTTATCGCGAAGTTTCCCGTCAACCAGCATCTCGCCAGTGAGGACGCCCACGCCTGCGCGGCGATCAGCGAGGCAATCCAACAGCGTGGTCTTGCCAGCCCCCGAAACCCCCATTAGGGCCGTCAAGGTCCCAGGCTTCACCCAGCCGTCGACATGATCCAGAATGCGCCGAGGCTTGCCCTTGATCTTGATGTCGTAGCACACATTGCTCCAGTGGAACACACTCGTGGAGCCCTGGAAGCCTCCCTCCTTGCTGGAATCGTAGCCATAGCCCGGCTTCTCCAGCAAAGTCGTTACCGGGCCCGAGGGTGACCCCTCGACGTCCTGACGGCTCTTGCGGGCAAGTCTGGGGACGAATCCCCGACGGAAGACGAGGATCTCGCCCTTCGACTTCTTCGCTGTGACGTACTCGCTGGCCACAAAATACACGATATGGTTGAAGATCACCATGGCGACGATGATGCCAACGTTGCGCCACTTGTGACTGTGGTAGTAGCTGTACGCTGAGTTGATATACGCATCGCCGTTGACATAGGATTGGCCTGGTACGGCGCCGACAGCGTCACAGGCCACGGTTTTTGTTCTGGGAGTTCCGTAACTGGGGATGTATGAGGAACAGGCGAAGTTCCGGGAGTGGTACTCGTTGACCATGAGCGCTTCGTAGCCGTACGCGACGGGGTTCAGGTAGTTGATCCACCGGCACCACGACAGCATGTAGCGAATCGGGACCACGAAGCCGGTAAAGACGAGCAGAGCAAGCATCAGGATGGAGGCGGGCACCATCGCTTGTTGTTCTGTCCGAGACAGCGCACCGCTGAAACATGTTAGACCCTACCCTCGACATTTGATGCACAACTTACATGAATCTGAAGACCCCCGACATAGCCAGGACAATGAGAAAGACCACCAGCAGGTAGAAGAAGAAGTTCCCAGGATGCCGGTTCAGGTTTGTCATGAAATAGAACACCAAGTTGAAGGAAACGGTGCCGGTGATCTTCATGGGTAAGTCAACCAGGACAGACGCATACGATTCAGCCGAAGGGTGGTAAAAGGCGTAGCGGGCCTGTTTTTCCACAATGGGCCGTTGCGCGTACAAGGTCATGACCTCCAGGATAGACGCGAAGGCATTGAACAAGATCGCCATGAAGAGAACGACAGCCCGTCCGTAGAAGGACGCCGTCGTCTGGTCCATATTGTAGAACAAGGACGACATGATGAGCGCCATGATGACATTTCCAATCATCACCCAGATCGACGGGCCGGGATCTGCCCAGAATCGTCTCCATCCTCGCCACATACAGAGCTGAACCTGCTGCGAGTACGTCAGGGTATATGGCGAGTTCAAACGCTGACCCTTGGCCTGGTGCGCCTTCTTCAGCTGTCGATAAGTCCGGGCGTCCGGGCCGTCAATCGGATGCTGAAGCTTGTAATCCTCAATCTCCCGCTGTAGAGCCTCGTACTCCGGGCTCCGTTTCCAGGCGGCTGCGAATTCGTCGGCCGTCCGCGGGGGGTTGCAGCCAGGACGAGGGATGCGTTCCGCTGGAAAAGCCATGGAGGTGAGAAAGTCGGGCGTTGTCTGGCGAGCCGGACACTCGAACCCCAGACGGATGAAGTAGTCCTTGGCCCGGGACGCAGGTCCGAAGTAGATCTGTTGCCCTTCGTAAATGACCAGGGCCTTGTCGAAGAGGTCGTAGGCGCTCTGGGGTGCTTGATACATCGATACAGCGCATGTTTGGCCGAATAGTTCCGACTGCAGCCGAAGGGTCTTGCAGAACTCAACCGCGTTGGCCGCGTCCAGGCCACGCGTCGAGCTGGAGTTTGGCAGCCAGCAATCAGCAGTTGCTCGTGTATAGGGAGGAAGCCCCATATGGACGAGGTCACTTACTTGTCCCAGCACTGGAAAGGGGCGTTGGACAGCGTCGCCTCTGCAATCGTGACCCGTTTGCGTTCGCCTCCGGAAACTCCCCGTACGAACTCGTCTCCGACTTTAGTATGAATGGTGTGACTGATCCCGTACATGGCCATAACGACATCGCGTAGATGCTCGCAGTACCTATCAAGGAGAGTGGGTTAGTGTGTCTCCAACCGGGAAACAACCTGAAACGGAGGAAGCAACTGACTGTTTGCGAGTGATGCCTTCGGGCAGCTCCCTTTGACAGCGTGCGTACGAGGCAAAGGTCAAGGTCTCGCCCACCGTCAACATGGGAAAGTGAACATCGACCTCAGCAGTATAGATGGCATCGCCTCGATGCGCCGTGTGCATCTCCTTGTCCGAGATGCCTTGATAGTTGAAGTACGAATCCCGGTTGACGTAGATACCATTCCGATCGCCCGAGATGGTCTTGAGGAAAGTCGAGCAGCCGGACCCAGGAGGACCCAGGACCACGCACATCTCTCCTGGGCGGATGATGCCGTCAAACTGGTGCAAGATCTCCACCCGGGTTTGGCCTGACGTGCTGGTGCTGGGCAGGAGACGACGAGCGATCATCCCCGGCAGGGCCAGCCAGATATTGGCGACAGTCTTTTGAAAGTCCGTCGCGCTGCTGTAGCCAAAGACGCTCAGGTCCTGGAAACACAAGCCGACTCGCCGGAAGTCCTGACCGCGCTCTTCAGCAACCCTGGCAACATTCCTGGCCCACTCGCGCGCGTTGAACTTGTTGCCGGACGGGTTCAGGGGGGAATCAGGGTCTTCGCTTCCGAAGATAGGCTTGCCGTCAGAGTCGTGTGAACTGTTGCGGGTAAATTCGCGTGCGAGCTCCTGCACGGTCGAATGTCGCGACTCCATCGATTTTGGCGGGCCCTGTGCTCCAACGTAGACGTCGGCACTGAACTCTTCAGTCGTGTGCTCCAGCCGGCTCTGCTGGGTCTGCGCCCCATTGGGTCCAAAGTGACCCAATGCCTTTGCGGTCGACATGATGCTTTGGCAACGGTCTGCGAAGTGAAGTCGGATTTGAGGGCAATGGTGATGGATGGAAGGCACCGACGCACCGTGAGAGGAATCATCTTATTAGGCATTCAGACAAGGCCGAGCTGATGAAGAAGACCGGCAATAGGGAAGCCATGGCCATGCCATCTCCGTTTGTCGTTCACGTCTGTTGCTTGTCCCTGTATACTTCGGCCGAAGTCCTCCGGCCGAGGCAGAGAAAAACGGGGACCCCATTCTCCGAATCCGACAGTTTCGGCCGAAGCGCAGATGACAAGCCATCACGACGGACTTAAGCTCTATATATTAATCTCTGCGCTCGCCGCCACTGTCTTGATGCGCTTTCGGCTGAGGCTGAGGCCGCTTACGTCCGTTGGAATGACCAGGAGCTCGGAATATTACCCTTCGATCCTCCCACCTCGTATCTCGCTCCTTTAGCCGACTGGCTCACTGCCCACCCTCGTGTTGGCTTGGCAAGGTGAGGAAGCTCAAGCAAAGCCCGAGCTTGTCCAGACTCAAGGGTCTAGACAAGCCTCCGGGAACGACTTGTACCACATCTTGGTATCGAAGCTTGGCTGAGAACAGACTGCCCATTCGGTCATCGAGTCTCCCTCGCAAGATCTGCTGCCGGAAGAGATGTGCTCTATTTGCATTGATATGCTCTCAACGTTGACGCGAGTCGAGCCTTCAGATTCTCGGATGTCGGGAGACACGTACGGGGTATGGCGAGAGGATCATCAACCCCGCACTAGCGGACCGGGATGCTGATCCTAGTCGTGCTGTCATGTTCGGAGTCAACAAGGTGCAATAACAGAGGTTGTTGATTTCGCGCCTGTGACGGAAGACTGTGGTGAGATTTTAGTAAGTACTGGGTGGCGTGGGCTGATATGGGATACCGGTCTCTCTCTCAGCAGTCATGTAGCTCCGCCTATAGATCCCAGGAAATGCAACTCCTTCCTGAGGGTGTTCACGCCGTTCCATGCCACTATCTTGCGGTGATATGGCGAATCCGCTGAGGTGCATGGAAATCACACTAAAATCTGATGCTTGGCACCGGTTGGGGGCCATTGGGATAAGCTGTTGTCACAATCCTTCGGCCTGTTATCTCTTTGCCCCGTTCCGGGGTTGTACTTTGTCCAGAACGTCCTCCTGCTGACGGCGGGACCATGGATGAGAACCCGGCCAGGGCGTTAATAAAAGAGGCCGGAATCTCCCTCCAATGCTGGACCAACCGTCAAGCACGGATCGTTGCACAAGATCTCTCATTAAGCATGCCGTGGAACTTCTCACTATATGACTATGTCCGCTCAACGTCCGAGTCATTCACCACCCAACAAGGAGCAAGCTCGGCCCGCGGCCGGACCCGGCCCCAGACCGGTGGGACGAAACAAGAACTCGAAGATGTCCGGCCGGATCCTTTCTGCCTGCGACGCATGCCGTCAGTCCAAGGTCCGGTGCACCGGAGGGAATCCGTGCTTGACCTGCCAATGGTACCAAAGAAGCTGCAACTATAGCCCCGGTGGTCGGCTCGGCCGGCCCAAAGGCAGCAAGAACAAGCGGACGTTGATGCAGCAAATTCTGAACCTGAATAAAGAGCAGCCGTCCGAGACACAGAGGGACACGAATAGAAGCACTGCGGATGTCATGCAGTGGATTGGATCCGGACAGCATCAACGACAGCAACGGCAACAGCAGCTGCCGCCGCCTGAACCCGACTTGATCTCGTTCGAGTTCGATATGGAACATGCATTCGACACCACGATTGCTTTTGGGGAAGGCGAGAGTCCTGCAGGGGATGGCAGCCGTGACCTCATGCTCGATATGGGTCAGGACTTGAGTGCAGACGACGACTCGGGATTGAGCCATCAGGCTTGCTTGGCCCAGGTATTAGCAGCCAATTCACCCAACTCTCACTCGGTTTTGGCGACTGACCCTTTTGCTTTTCTTTCCCCTTTCCTTGCTCAGACTTCCCGTGCGCTTGTGAGTGGACAACAACTGCCCGTGAGCGATTCTGGGCCAGGACAGTTCCGCGCTTTCCCATCGGATGGATCGACCGACCCGTTCGGCACCATCTTCCCCAGCAGCAACCCGGCTCCATCGGGTTACTCTCGTGCATCGCCACCAATCTCACCGGTGTCCCCGCCATCGGCCGCGTCAAATCTGCCTTCGAATGTACGCTCAGGTTGCTTGTGCCTGCAGCGGCTGGTTCGACTGCTTTATCATCTGGAGGAGCTGCGCTTTCCCCAAGGCCACGGTCACGGTCATGCAGCGCGCGCTCACCAAGCCGCAGGTCCCTCCGCGGACTCGGTTCTGCGAGGGGTCCAGGCCGCCAAGATGCCGTGGCAAGGCTTCATCCACTGCAGCGTCCACGGTGATGACGACGGCCACAGAGAGGCGCTCCTCTTGTTCGCCATGAGCATTCGGATCCTCTTGCTGGCGGTCCAAAAGCTCAACAGCACCATCCGCCTTAGCCAGACCGAGTTGTCCTCCGACATCGCCGTCTCGGTGGGCGACTTCGAGCTGATGGGTGAGGCGAAAGCGGAGATCATCGGCGTGGTCATCCGGCGGGCACTGTGGGCCATCACCATTGCGCTGCAGCATCTCTGGGAGCGCGCGGGGCAGCCGACGGCGCAAACGGGCAGCGAACTCGGCAGCAGCAGCCCCCCTGAGCGATCAAGTCCCATCAGCATTCTAACCGGGTCATCCTGCAAAGACCCTCCTCAAGTGAGGCCGCGTGCGTTCAGTGCCCCAGCGTCGACGACCAGTTTTGGGGCTGAGGACGAGAGCGTCGTGTCGCTTCTTGCTACGCTGCAGTGCACAATGAAGACCTTGGAGCAAGAGACACAGGCGTCGGGGGCTGGGTCTGAACCAAAGCCATCTCCAATCTAGGAAGAGCATCTAGGAAGAGAAGATCGTTCCGCTGTTGGCGATACATAGAGTAAGTGCCGAGTGTCAATGGCCAACCACCGGTAGATTGGGGGGAGTTTGGAATTTAGAGCTGTCTCGCATTGCGAAATGGGTTCGGAATATATCTACCTTCAAACGCACCTGCCCCTCCTTAATTACTCGGCACGTCTCCAGTTTCGGATCAATGACCTGATCGGCCCTTCTCCACTACTGGTATTGCTCTGCATACTCGCCTCCGGTCTCCGTGAACCTCCTTATCCCCGAGAGCCGAGACTGGTTCAACGCGGCGCTCTAGTTGCAGGGCGGCTGGCATGGTATAGTTGTCTTTCTTTTCTTTTTCCTATGGGTGGTGTCTCTGAAGTACTATTTGTATAAGAGATGGCTTTGACAGTTACATGGGAGCGATACTTGTTTTCTCCTTGATCCGGGGTGGTGCCTCTTTTTTTTCTATTTTGATTTTTTTGATTCGACTTGAAACGGAGATAATCAGATAATCAGATGATCAGATATCGGTAATCGGGTAATCAGATCAGATAAATGGATAATGGGATGATCAGCAATCAGATAATCAGATAAGCGTTAGTCTTGACCAAGTGGTACACATTAAGGTTGGTTTCAACCTGCGACTTGGGACTTGGACTTGGAGAAGACGACAATTAGTCCGCGGAATATACAAAAGCCTGTATTTTCTACTAGGTTGCTACTGCCGAGGAATTATCCGGAGGTTATTTAAGCACAAGTAGCCTAGAGGACTGGGAACTGGATATGTCACGAATAGCTCGGTGTTCAATGGATGAGGTCTATATTACTGTCTTCAAGCCCTCGACATTATAACGACTGCTTCTAAAGATGGAACCCGGTAGTATCAATAGCCCGAACCCAGCCACCGATCTTAACGTCTAGGAGGTTATCAGGGACGCTGTACAGATTGCCCGTGACGTACAGCACGTTCGAATCATACTTGGTCCTTCCGAACTGGCAAGCGGTTGGTCCCGGGAAACTCAAGTTGTTGCTTGTGCCGACGCCGTCGACGACAACAGCGGTCCCGTTCTTCGTCGACACGGCGTAGACGGCATTGAGGCCCGTCGCCCACAGCAGATCCTTGTTGCCGGGCCCGAACGCGAAATCGTCCCACAGCTGCGATTCCACAACCGAGACGACCTCGGGGACGGCGGGAGGCACGGGGTAGCCGTTCTTCTGGATCGCGACGCGGTAGATGCCGCCGGTATCCTGGTTGACCCAGTACAGCTCGTTGCCCAGGATCCTGATGCCGTCGATGCCCACGTCGGAGCCGTGGGCGTAGGTGGTGTTCATTTCGGCGTAGTCGGTCATGACGAGCTCGTAGTCGCCGGTCTGCGTGTCAAGGCGCCAGATCTGCCCCGGGCTGGGCGTCCAGTCGACCTGCTGGTACCGCGGGCGCAGGACGTACTGGTCGGAGATCAGCACGGTGGACCGGTTCCACGGCAGAGCGGCGACGCCCTGGAGCAGCGCGGCCTCGGGCATCCAGGCGGCCATGCGAGCGGAGGGCGTGTCCGTGGTGAAATCGAGCTCCATGGCGGCGAAGGTCCGGTCGACCTGGCTGGAGTAGGCCTCGGGCGAATAGAAGCGCGAGCCGACGACGATGTACTTGTCTGGGGTGGTTTCGCCGATCCCAATGAGCCGGTCGACCCACTCGTCGAAGTTGTAGGCGAGCTCCACCTCGGGCGTATCGGTCCATGGCTTCTTCACATGCCACACGGTGCCGTTGGGGGTGGATGTCGTGAGGAGGAGGTTGCCATTGGGCCGGACTGCGATGTTTTCCACCCAGGTCCCGTTGGGCCAATGGTGCAACAGGCGCTCCGGGAGGGGAACAGACCCGGTCGCGTTAGAGTTGCGCGGGACAACCGCTGAGAGGGAGGGCGAGACGGCCAGGAAGCCGAGAAGGAGGGAGGACACGGTGGAACGCATGGTGGCTTTCGGTGTTGACTGTAGTAGCTCTGGGTACGAGAACTAGACCATGTGCCTTATCGCCTGCTATTAAATAACGAATAATACTACTCATCGTCTGAACAAGAAAAACCCGATAATACATTCTTGGTGACTTCTTCTTGTGATTTCCTCTATGCCGGAAACTAAAAAGCAACACGGAAAACAATTAGAAAATGGGAGGTAAATGGACTAGACTAGGCAAAATATTGGCCGATAAAAAAGTCCCCGCGCCTATATCTGTATAATGCGGCATCGCCATTTACTCATTTCCCTATGCGTAAGCACCAGGCACTTACTTCCGTAGATGCGTTTGCACCCACGACCACGGAATGTGTATGCTTGCTTATCAGCATAGGCTCACTTAAGATGAGTCCCTCCACGAGGGCGAGAGCTCAGGTGCCTGCCTCGTCACTACTAACTCGAACAGTCTTGTCTTCTTCTTCTTCTTCTGTTGTGTCAAGTATCCAACCGCAATGGCCAACGTTACAACCAAGGAGATGTGGGAAACCATCAAGCAGTACTTCGGGGACGGCCACGTTCTCGGGTCTGCTCCACTGCGCTACAACATGCACATTTGCAAAATGAAGCGTCCATCCCCTAGTGCCAATGCCACTGATACTGGCAAGAATGGTAGCACCAGATACGGCGTAGAGATCAGCGAGCACGCGATGCCTTTGTATTCCGTCTGTAAGCAGCCTTGGGGACGCTACCTGGATGAAGGAAAGATTGATTAACCGAGAACAGTGGGAGATACATGCCCTCCGCCTTGCACCTGTTTCGATATGGCCGCTGTAGTCAAGCGCATCGATGAGTATCTCGAAACCGGGCCTGACAGTCACCCAGACGACTTCACTATCACCAGCGGGAAGAACGACACCGACACGGAGGAGGTGAACCTGTACATCATGCGCGACGTCCTCAGTTGGTGGGTCCACTGGGGCGGCGCACTGCGGCCGGGGGACTACTGGAAGCAGATATACGTCGCCTTCGCCGCCATCCCGGACGATGTCCAGATCCCTCCCAACGCCTTCTTGGATGGCTCGTACCGGTATCTGGGCCACACGTGGGACGACTGCAAGCAAGGGTTGCTGGGAGAGGGCATGCCGCCGGCGGAGGTCGAGTTCGTCGAGATGTGTCTCTGGCGGCAGATGCTCACCCAGTACTTTGAGAAGGTGGACCCGGAGGTGTACCGGCTGCTGAAGGCCAAGACCACGCTCATGACGCAGTACCGGGTGCACACGGGCAACACGCTCGGGTGTGCGGCGCTGATCCTGGCGACTGAGGGCAGGGTTTCCGGAGGGGTGGAGGACAACGCGCTCGAGGCGGCGTCTATAGCTCAGTGTCTGAGCATGGACATGGCCAAGGAGGCGCTGGGAATCCTGCAGGGCGAGAAGACGGAGACGGTGGCGGGAGACAGGGTGCAGCTCAAGAGGGAGCTGCGCTGGGTGTACGTCCGGTGCATGGAGTATCTGGAGACGCAGCCCAACGCGCACTTGCTGAGGCGCTTTGCTTCCTCGGGGCTCCATTATGTTCCCATGATGGACCGGTATCTCGAGCGTGTGCGTGGCAACGTCCGGTTTCCCATCACGGGGGCTAAGGCGCGCATACTCGAGCCGTTCATCAACCGAGCCTACGTCCGTGAGGGGCTGAATCCGGATGGGCTACTTTTTAACAAGATGGATGGGATTGGGGTGAACAAGTTGGACGGAGTCAAGGCGTTTAACAAGGTGAACGGCATGAATGGAAGCATCCCTCAAGCAGTTTGATTCTATGTTGTAGTACTATAAGATTCGCTGGTTTGCTATCCTCGATACATGATTTAGCTTGAATAGTCTGATTTTATTGATTGCCGAGTCTCGTGAATTCAGATAAATGCAATGAAATAGTCTCACTTGCCCCAGAGTACCCCATAAAGCAATCTCATACCTACAGTCCTCCCTCGCACAGGAACCACAGCTATCTACACTCTATATCCGTTTGATAGACACGCTCATCAGCTTCAACTTACACCAACTCGTGCTCTCTGCACTATGCACAGGCCAAAATCTAATTAATAATGCATCTGACTAAAGCCCAATCGAATGGCCCAAGGTTGGAGGGTTAGGGCTATGCACATATCCATATTAGGTAATCAGCTCCGCAGCCTCGGCCGAGCGGCTTTAACGGACAATTGCGGTTCGGACATGGCCTAATCCCGAGGACTGCCTCAGGCAATGACTCCGCACGTCCTGTCCTCAGTCCATAGTCCGCACATCTTTCCAACATTCCTCCTCTCTGCCATAGTGATGAGGACATGATTCGGCCGAGGAGAAAGAGAGAGAAAGATTGTCTTGCTTCAACCATTTCCCCTCATGGAGAGTCAGCCGCAGCCACAGCCGCAGCCACAGCAGCGCCGACGTCGAAGACCAGCTCTCTCTTGTCGGGAATGCCGTCGACGCAAGATCAAGTGCGACCACAACAACCCTTGCGCACACTGTTTGCGCCACAAGACCCGATGTATATACAAGCCCTATACGGATGGCTTTGACGACACGCCCGTCACCGGGACGATCCAGCAGCATGATTCCCCCGCCAGCTCACCGCCGCCCCAAACCGCAAGCCCCCCGCCGTCAGACAGCTCGGCGCCCCGACAGCTCGCCCAAGCTGGGGACAGGGATTCGGGTAATATAAACGGATCCATCTCCGTGCCTCTCCAGGGCAGCAACTCATCCACGCCGTGGGTCACAGCACCGCCAGTGGCAGCGGCAGCGGCCCCTGCGGCAACGGCAGCCCAGACGGCCCCCCTTGGCCGCAGTGACCTGCGACAACCATTGCCGGACCATGACCCGGATGGGGGGACCACTTTCCGTGATCTTCTGCATCGGATACAGCGGCTGGAAGAATCTTCAGCAGGCGGATCCCGGATCGGGGACAGTCCTCTCCACGGGGTCAATGCACGATCTGAGGCTAGCGCGGTCTCTCTGGCGCGACCGTCGCCGGCCGGGTCGCAAGAGTGGCAAGCTGTCCTGAACAAGTCCAGGGATTGGGGCCGGAGTCGCTGGATGGGCGCGGCTAATGAATTCACCGCCATCATCGCCTGTTACAGTGAGATCATGGGCAAGAGTACCAAGGACGGCTCGTTTCAAGGCCCCGAGGCCTCTGCGCTGATCTCCCAGGCCGGTGACTTCCTCCGGAAATGCAAGAATAGAGCGAAGAGCATCAAGACCGGCCGGCCCACCAGAGGTCTCCCGTCGCCGGGCTTCGGATTTGCGCCCCCTTCCCGCGAGATGGCCGATGCCATGGTCAATCTGTACTTGACATCATTTGAATTGACGTATGTATCTATCTCTGACGGGGGGTTCTGAGGATACTAACTCTGAGAGACCTGCAGGCATCGGATACTTCACCTCCCGACCTTCTGGGTCGAGTACCAAAGATATTGGGACAACCCCGACGGTGCTGCACCTAGTCTGCGCCTCAAGGTCCTCCTCGTCATCGGCATAGGATCAAGTCTGTACGACCATGGAGACAGAGCTGCGGCTCTTCGCAATATCGACTTGGTCCAGCAATGGATCTACACTGCGCAGACTTGGCTTTCCGGGCCGTTGGAAAAGGACCGCCTGGACATCTCTGGGCTACAAATCTACTGCTTGAGTATCCTGGCTCGGCAGATCTTCTCAATCGGCGGGGATACGATATGGATCTCGATCGGATCGCTGGTCCACAGCGCCATGCAACTCGGGTTGCACCGTGACCCCAAACATCTCCCGGCTATATCGGTGCTGCAGGCCGAACTGCGCCGGAGGCTTTGGTACACTATTCTCGAATTCGTTGTGCAGTCGTCCCTGGACTCGTGGATGCCGCCGAGGATCTCCTGTGATGAATTTGATACCGAGCCGCCCTCCAACATCAACGACGAGAAGCTCGACGAGTCGACGACAGAGCTCCAGTCGTACCCGAAGGGCACCTTTACTGCTACGTCCGTCCAGCTTGCCCTGATCGACTCGCTGCCCGTCCGCCTGCGGATCGTCCAGCTCCTCAATGGCCTCCATTCCGAACTCTCCTATGAGCGGGTCCTCTCGCTAAGCTCCGAGCTGATCGACGCCCTTCAGGCCTGCAGTCGCCGGGTGAAGGATGGCGACGGGTCGACCCCTTTCCACCGAAACCTGCTGGACTACTTGATCCGCCGGTTCATGATCCCCCTGCACTACTCCTTTAGCAACCAGGCGCGCACCAACCCGCTCTTCCACTACTCGCTCAAGCTCAGTCTCGACGCCGCCCTCGCCATGGTCTCCCCGGAGCCGGACCACGGCTTTGCCCGGCTGATGGCTACCGGCGGCGGGGTCTTCCGGGAGGGCGTGCGCTGCGCCACCTCGGCCATCAGCCTCGAGCTGCTCGCGCACGTCGAGACCCAGCGCCTCAACGGCACGCTGCACCGGACGCGCCAGTACCGGGACTTCCTCAAGCAGGCCGTCCGGGACCTCATCTCGCTGTCGGAGGAACGCATCCGGCAGGGCGAGACGAACGTGAAGAACCACATGTTTCTGAGCATGATCCTCGCGCAGGCCGAAGCGGTGGAGGCGGGCGTCCCGGTTGAGTTGCAGGTGGCGCGGGCCGCGAGGGATAGTTTGGAGCTGTGCAATAATCTGCTGAAGACGCGGGAGGATACCGGCTCGATGCCGTCGCCGGACGATGCGGGACTGGCGGCGGCGGGGATGGAAGGGGTCCAGGGGGTGGGCTTCGAAGGGTTTGCACCGGACTTTGGATGGGAGTCTTTCTTTCCGGACGCGGGCTTTGGTCATAGCTGGTTTGGGAACTTGGATAGTTAGCAGTATACGTCGTCTGGGTGCTTTGCTTTCGTCTTTCTTATCCCAACATAGGTAAACACAGATCGAACTATACAAAAGAGATTCCGTAGTGATCATCTATTGCTCGCAGAAACGTGTCTACTTATTCAAGAAAGCCCATATCCTTCCAACTTTGAACAAACAGTCGAATCAACCTCTCACTCACGGGCCCCAACTTTGCCAACGTCGGCGAATGCTCCCTCGCCTTGGCTGTTCCCATCACCAGACCGCCACAACTCATGCGGATAAAATTGCTGTCCAAGAAATCCACCAGTAAATACCCCGGGTTCGCCCCTTGCGACCCATTATCCTCCCGTCGCGGCCAGTCCCTCACCCGCTGCACCCACTCCGGGAAAGGAATGATACTGGCACGCGGGATGCCCATCTCATCCGCCAGCACCGCAAGGGTCTCCGCCCACGGCTGCCGAACCGGATTCTCAATGTGGTAGATCGGATACAGCGCGACCTCATCCGGCTGCGTCAGGATCTCGAGCAACCCACGCGCCACGTCGTCCGCGGGCGTCCACCCCATCGTCCCCGGCAGGTCCGGCAGGGCGCCCAGGGTCTGCGACGACCGGAACAGAAACGGCACGTGCTCCATCGGGTTCCAGTGCCCGTTGATCGCGCTGCCTGCGATCTGGCCCAGGCGCACGGCGGTGGCCCGGAAGCGGTCCGGGTGCCGGTGCAGCGTGGCGTCGAGCATCCGCTCGCAGATGTACTTGGCGTCGCCGTAGCCGGTGGGGAGGACGCTGTCGATGGTGACGCGGTCTTCGGGGATGACCGGCTTGCCGGTCCGGAAGGGGTGGTGGCCGACGGTGGCGATGGAGGAGATGAACTGGAAGGTGACGGGGCGGTTCCGTGGGCGCTGGGCCGAGATGGCCGCGGCGAGGTGGAGCATGTGTGCCATGATGCGCAGGTGGGGCTCGAAGCGCGTGACGGGCCATTTGGAGTGCATGAGCCAGGCGTTGTGCACGATGTGCGTGACGTGTTGGAGCAGGAAGCGGTACTCGTCGTTGGACAGGCCCAGGGTCGGCGATTGTGCCATGTCGGTTTTTGCTTCGAGGACGTGGATTTTGGCCACGGCGTCTGCGGGAAGGGCGAGGCCTTTCTTGTGCAGAGCTTGCATCTGCCTTTCGTGCGGCGGTTGGTGCTTCGCCGGCCGGTTGAGGCAGACGACTCGTGTCACATCAGGTCGAAGCGCAGCCTCAGCGACCAAATGCGCGCCCAAGCCTCCCGTGCCGCCGGTTATCAAGACGCACTTGGCCTCGGGTCTGGATGGAGAGACGCCCGTAGCGGCGTGAGCCATTGCCATGTCAAAGCCGTGCGTCAATTCTTGGACATATCGGGTGACTACCTGCTCCCGGGCTGTGCAGTCGGCAGAAGCTCCTAACTTGGGCTGGTGATAGCCTGGTAGGATGGAGGATGTGCTGGGCAACCGTTCGCATCTGACCAGATAAAGCTCTTAGAATATGATGTATAGAAATCGATATAGCATCCACAGGCAGGGAGGTAATTACATGTCCGACCAGAGGGTCAGAAACAGACAGGAACAAAGGGGAAAAGGCAAAGGAGAGTGGCAATTACCGGCTCGTCGGATCAGCAGCAGCGAGAATCACCTTCTGGACCTCGCTTTCCGGCCTGTCCCCATCCGTCCAGTCGACATGGCCATAGCCAGCAGCCTGGAGATCCCTCTCCCACCTCGACTCATGCGTCAACGCGTGCCGGCGCCCATCGTCAAACAGCCACCAACCCTCGAACAGCCCGAAGATCAGATCGACCCAGTACGGCGTGCGCGTCATCTCCATCATAACAAGGAACCCATCCGGACGCAGCGCCTTGCGCACATTCCCCGTACTCACACACAGCGACCTCGTCGCGTGCACCGCGTTGCTGGCAATCACAAAATGCTGCGTCCCCTCCAGCTCCTTCTCCGGCGCCCTCTCGATATCATGGGCCCGGAACTTCATCCACGGGTACTCCCTCCCCCACGTCTTCCGCGCCGCCGCCACAAACGACGGCGCCAGGTCCGTGAACGTGTACTCCACCGGCACCCCGAGCCGCGCCAGCAGCGGCACGATGCGCTTCGTCGTGCCCCCCGTGCCGGCCCCCATCTCCAGGATGCGCAGCGGGCGACGAGGCTCGCCGCGCCCGGGCCAGCGGAGCTTGGCGCACAGCCGCGTGAAGAAGTCCTCCATCTGCGCGATCAGCACCCGGTTCAGCGGCCACTCGGCGTACCAGCGGCCGACCAGGTCGCGGCCCTCGGTGCTGCCGAAGATGAGCTTGACGCCGTCCGTGCCGCCCGAGAGCACGTGCTGGAGGTTCGCGCCGGCGTAGTACGTGAGCTGGGTGGCGCAGTGCTGGTCGGGATGGTCGCGGAGGAGCTCCTCGTACAGCTCCCTGCTGGGCCGCTGTGGAAGCGGCACGGCCGTTCGCGTGATGATGTTGCCGTCCAGCTTGATGGTCTGGGTCTCGGCCTCGAGCATCTCGTACAGGTACGTCACGAAGCGGTCATGCTCTTTGCCGTGTGGGATGCGCGGGAGTTGCGTGCCCGGTTGGGCCGTCTGGAGTCCGGCGCCGAGGGCCTCGAAGGCCTCGACGGTTAGGGCTACCGTCAGCTCGTTCTGCAGCGGGAGTGACCGGGCGACATAGCTTGTCTGCTCCATTTCGGCAATGCGGGTGTCGGTCAGCTGTTTGGTCTCGTTGAAGGCCTCCATCACGGTTTCGAAGGGAAGCGTGAGCTCGCCCGACTCGGCATGGTGCTCCTCCTTGATATCTGGCTCTGGGGCCGGTGTGCTCAAACTAGTGTCGCCGTCTGAAGAGGACATGATGCTAGGCGTGTCCCTGTCAGAGTCCTCGTTCGAGTCCTCCTCGGCTGGCTCGACATGTGGTTGTGTGTGGATACCCATGGCGCCGGCCACGCATGCCATCAGACTTGGCATGTCGGTGAGCATGAGGACGTCGGCTTGTGGGAGCTTCACCTTCAAGGTCGACTCGATCTCGTGTACCATCTCCATGCCGGCGAGGGAGTCGATGCCGAGGTCAGCTAGCTGACTGTCGTCACCGATCTCGGCTACCCCCAAGCCCGAAAGGTCTGCAATGATGGCCTTTACTTTTAGTGTCAGGTCCTGGAGTGCCTGCTCACTCTGCTTCTGTGGCTTGGGCTCTGCGGTGGGGACCTTTGGCTGGGTTTCTGACTGGACTGTCGGTGCTTGTTGCGCGGGAATACTGGCGAATGCTGGGGCAGAGGCATCTGACGAGGTCTTCGCCATCCACGAAGGGTCAGTCAAGGAAGAGAGCAGCTTCTCCATTGATGTCTTCGGAATCTTGACATAGGCAATGCCCAGGATGACCTCGACGAGAACCCCATCCGCGGCGTCGAAGACAAAGACATCCGTCAAGGACAGCTGATCGGACGGACGATGATGCACGGCAAAGGCATGGAAATCACTTGGTCGCTTGGTGGTTGGATGCGCCCTGATCCACTGGTCGATGCCGTTTGCGAGGTATACGTCGCTCCGGGCTCGGTCTGTCATGCAGTTGATCCAGAGGCCGCCGAGTTGGCAGAAGGTGTCGGCGAGATGGGGATCAAACCAGACCTCCGGATCCTGGTTGTGGCGAACGACGTGGCCGGCCGTCTCGTGGCCGCGCACAACCATCTTCTGCAGCCCGCGGAATTCATCGCCGTAGTCCACGATCTCCGAGAAGAGGCGGTAGATGCTGCGGTTGGCAAGTGCTTCGTTGACGTCCGCGCTCTGCAGCAGCTCCACCGCGCGGCCGTGTCCGAACAGCCGTGCGAAACGCAGCAGCTGGCGTTGCAGAGACGGGTCGTTGGGGTCACTGAGAGCCACTCTGCCGATTGTGTGCACCATACGCTTCTGCTTCTGGCATCCGTTGGCGGTGCTGAACACCTCGAACCGCCACTCGGCAACCCCCAGCGCGTCTGTGCTGCTGATCTCGATCCACGTCGTGCGCGCCGCGTTGGCGCAGACGGGCGATTTGTACTCCACCTCCTGAATCTGCGGCTGGAGCTGTGCTGACGACCGATACTCGGGGCGGAGCATGCCTATGGCATCAATCACAAAGCCGATCTGCAGGGTGGCTGACAGGATGGGCGCCGTCCCCATCGTGACATGTCCTGCAAGGAGTTGCTTATATCTCTCTGTCCTCGTGTTGACTCGGAACTGTGCTCGCCTCTGCGCCGCGCCATCCTGGTACCCAACAAAGGCCAGATGTCCCTCCGGCTGCTTCTCCGCGGCGGTGTTCTGGGTCTTCCCGTCGCCTGTCGGTGCCGGCAGTGCCTTTGGTGGCGTCTTCAGCTCCATCCAGTGACGGCTGTCGGGATCGAACTGGTACGGGGGCAGGAGCAGGGGTTTGATGTCGGCCTGGTGTTCTCTCTGTAGCCCGTGGTGCGCCCAGTGCTGGACACGCAGGCCGGCCTTCCACAGGGATACGGTGGTGTCGGTCAGCCTGTTCCAGCCGTCCTCGCAGCTGGCCACGTTGACGCCGTGGAAACTATATGTGCCCTTGACGTTGGCGAGTGCGCGGGCAGCCATGGATGTGATTGTGGAGTTGGTGCCCGCCTCGAGGAAAATACAGGGGGATGAGGAATACCGTCGTGCCAGGCGCTCGACAGCGTGGTGGAAGTACACTGGGTGGCGCATGTGGTTTGCCACAAATCGTGCCGTCAGTTCTGTCTCTCTCGTGTTTTCTTCAGTGGCCAGCTCAAGGGGGATGACCGGTTTCCGGAAGGTCAAGCCCCGGGCGTTTTGCTCCAGGCCGTCGTAGATCGGGTCGACGAGCACAGAATGAAATGCATTCGTGACGTTTAGCTTCTTGGCTTTGATCATCCTGTTGCTTTCCAGCTGGGTAGCCACCGCATCGATGGCGGCGGTCGGGCCTGCAAGAGTGAAGCTGCGTGGTCCGTTATAGCAGGCAATGCCCGCAGGCTTGTCCGAATGTCTCCTGTTGACATTGGCCAGCACTTCTCGCACGTCGCCGGGATCGCCCTCAACAGCCATCATGGCGCCTTTATCTGATCCCCAGTCGTCTCGCACCAGGGTCGCCCGTCGCACAATCATCTTGACCGTGTCCTCCAGCGAGAGAATCTGTGAGATACAGAGGGCCGTGAGCTCGCCGAAACTATGCCCGACCAGCGCAGCCGGCTGAGTCCCTGAGTCCATCCAGCTGCGCGCACAGGCGTATTGCATGGCGAGGAGCATCACCTGCAGCTGGACTGTATCGGAGATCGGGGTACGCTGGAAGATGCCCGGGAAAATGCTTGGGCATCCCAGTGACTGGACGACGGCGTCGACGCGGTCGAGATGCTTGCGCAGGACGGCCACGCTGTGGTATAATTGAGGGTCGAGGCCGATATAAGAAGAGACTTGACCTCTGAAGCACATAATGACCGTCGGTGAAGAGGCTGGGTGTCCGGAGATGACGTTGGTCTCATCATTGGACTCCTCGAATGCGGCCAGGTGTCTGTCCATCTCCTCGAATGAGCGCGCGGTGAAGATCATGCTGGAGTCCAAGGTACGATTACTCTGACGGGCAAGGTTGAACGATAGGTTGGCAAGCGATGTGTCCCTCGTCGATCGACCGAGATACATCCGGAGGGCGTGGACGTAACGGTGCAGGGCCTTGTCCTCAAAGCCGCTGAGCCAGAAAGGGTATCTGACCCCAGTCGGCATCTCTGCTGCCGCGATCTTCCCAAGGTGACGACTGTGAGACGGCGCCTGCAGGATGACCGCAGAGGCATTCGATCCTGAGGCACCGTAGTTGTTGATGAGGGCCGCACGGAAGTCAGCGTCCCACGGCTGTGCACGTGTGGGAATGAACATCTGATCGGCTGGAGATGCCTTGAGAGCCGGGTTGACAGTGTCGAAGCTGGCTTGAGGGGGCAATATCCCCTTGTTCATCATGAGCAGAACTTTGATCAGGCTGATCACGCCCGAGGTACACTCCAGGTGACCAACAAGGCCCTTGACCGAGCTCACCATCAGCTGCTTGCCTGAGCCACGATTCTTCGGACCCCCAAGGGCCTTGCGGATGCTATCGTATTCGGCCGGGTCACCGACAGCCGTCCCGGTCCCGTGCGCTTCGACCACAGAGATCTGCGACGGCCTGACCTTGGCCTTGGCCATAACCCTCGTAAAGAGATCCCCCAGCGACAGTGTATTAGGCACAAAAATGGGCGTGCAGTTCTCGTTCTGCTGGACGCCGGTAGCAGCAACAACGCCTAGGATAGGGTCTCCATCTGCGACTGCCTTGCTCATCTTCTTCAAGAAGACGGCACCAACACCCTCCCCTCGGCAATAGCCATCCACCTTGGCGTCAAACGGCTTGCACTGGCCCGTGGGACTCAAGAACGACCCAGCCGCCAGGTTCTGGAACCACTCGGCCGAGGTCATGATATGCGATCCGCCCGCGAGGGCAGCCTCGCATTCGCCCGCTAGAATCGACTGGCATGCCTGATGCACCGCGACCAGAGACGAGCTGCACGCCGTGTTGATGGTGAGCCCTGGCCCCGTCCAGCCAAAGAAGTGCGAGACCTTGCCCGAGATGAATCCCTGCAGGTTGCCCGTCGCCGTGAAAGCGTTAGCGGCGTGGCAGGCCACGTTGTTGTCGTAGTCGCCCAGGCACACGCCCACGAAGCAGCCAATCCTCCTGGCGTCGCTGCCTGTTTTCTCCTGCTGCTGGAAGTACCCGCTTTGCTCGACGGCTTGGTACGCCACCTGCAGGATGTGCCGCTGCTGCGGGTCCATGGCGGCGCTCTCCCGTGCACTCTTCTTGAAGAAGCGGTGGTCGAACTGGTCGTGGCCGTCGATGAGGTTGGCGAACCACTTGCGGTCCATGTTGGCGTCGGCGGCCGTGCGGAAGGGAGTGTCTTGGAAGGAGAACCGGTCGGAAGACGACTTGGTCCCTCCGGGCCTGATCTCGCGGTGCTGCGATTGGCCGGCGACGAGCAAGTCCCAGAAGTCGTCGACGCTGTTGGCGCCAGGGACCTTGCATGCCATCCCGACGACGGCGATGTCGCTGTCGAGCCACATGCGCTCGGATCGCCGGTCTGTTTTGCCTTTGGCCGCTTGGTCGGCAAGGTGTACGACGTGCATTTTCAGGCTACCCTTTGCCGCAAGGGACAAGGGTACGCTGCGCTCGGGGCCAAAGTCGAGGACTTCAACAACTTGCGTGTTCTCGCTATCTGCTTGTACGGCCGTGGAGAAGGCTTCGTACCAGCGGGGGGGCTCAACCAGGATGGATCGGAGCGCGTGGGCGTGCAGGGAGCCGTCTCTCAGCAGGGATGCGGTGCTGTCGTTTGCTCGCGCAGGGATATTGAGCGATGACGCATCTGGGAGTTGGAAGTCTGGATGAGAGTCGCAGAAGGCGATGAGTTCGTCAACGAGGGCCGAGTTGCCCGGGAAGTGGAAGCGCCCATACAGGCTTATTTCGGACGCCCCGATGCCTGCGGCTTGAAGCCGACGGGCCAGGTCGGATATACCATCGGCGCAGCTGGTGATGGTGGCGCGGTTCTCATCGTAGTGTACCGAGACGTATGCCTGTCCCATTGTCAGAAACTGCCGTTGGTCTTTGGGTTGGGGAGAGGAGGGGGAGGAAGTACATCTGGTGAGTCTTTCACAATCCGCATCATCTCTCCATGTCCTTCAGCGGAACTCCAGGCGGCACTGAGAGACCTGGACCGTCCCCTGGCTAATGCCTCATCCTGACCGTCAACCACCAGGCCAACAAGCAGCCCCAACCGCATGGCGGCGGCGCCATATCTCCGTAACTCGTCCATGTTGTGCGCACTCGACGCAGCAAAGGCGCTTAACAGCCCTGTACACAGGCCAAGCGTCTCTCCGTTGTGAAGCCTAACACTACCATCCCCATCTCCAGGGCTCGTCTGCCGCAGAAACTCGACGTACTGGGCCAACTGGGCAACGACCACAAGGGGAATCAGCAGGGTGTTAGGCAAAGGCAGGGCTGCGTCGAGGGGGCGACCCGTGGTCAAGGCCTCGTTGAGGTCGGCCAGCTGCTTGAGAGTGAGGCTTCCTATCGCCCGGTGAAGCGTGGGGAGCGCTGACAGTGCTGTTTCGCAAGCCTGTGGGAGCGTCTTGAGGACGCCGGCGAGCCAGATGTTGTCCTCGTTTTCTATGACGGTCTTGCGCAAGTGCTCGAACGACGACGCATCGAAGGATAGCGCCAGGGATCCCCACAGCAGGATTCTGCGGCCCAGGCTGGCGTCCTGGTCTGTCATGTTGAATGTGGGCAGCCTCTTGCAAGACAGGTTGCGGTCTCAGCTCTCCCTCTCCGGTCTGGGGGAAAGGGGCCATTAAGAGTGTGCTTGAAAGTGCCATTTCTCATCCTCTCGTCGGATCAGGTTCGCTCCGTTATCACTATCAACAAATGTCTTGACTGTTAGTATGGATAGATAGGTACAGGTAGGTACTTTGCCGCGGTAGGTTCAGGTAAGCACCCTTTGTCTTACTCTTTTCCCCTTCTGGATTGAATCCTAGTGTCCATATATCCGGGGACTTTTTTTGACTCCGGGAACTATTCTTATGGAACTATTATTATCTTGTAAACTCTCCGCCACCCTGTTTTATGTTCCGAATCCTCTTGTGGTTTTGCACGGTGTGAGATATGGAAAAGGACGATAGATAGAATTGAGTTGAGACGCAGGTCATCTTGTTATAACGAAGACGCAGATTTAACCATATGAGCAAAGATCATACTTCATATTGCTGAACCAGTTTCCCCATTCCTGCCCCCGACAGCATCCACTTAACTCCCTACATGGCCATCAATGTCCCCGGCCCGGCCGAGCCGCATATTGCCATCGTCGGGGCCGGCATCGTCGGCGTGATCCTCGCCCTTGGACTTGCCCGGCAGAAGATCTCGGTCCGCGTGTACGAACAGGCGGCTGGCTTCCGAGAGATCGGCGCCGGCATTGCCTTCTCGGCATGCGCCCGTCGCTGCAGTTCGTAGTCGTCTTGGTACTTCTCCTGCTCTAATCACCTTCTAACGGAGTGCTGTATCCAGTGGAGCTCGTGGACCCGGGGATCAGTGAGGCCCTGAGACGGTGTGGTGCCGTTTCCGTATCAGACGAGGACCAGGAAGACGATTACCTGCGCTGGATTGATGGCTACAACCAACACCGTGCTGACGATCCCACCTACCAGAGACCGCTGGCTCAGATCGGTGGTGCCGGCTTCAGAGGCTGCCGACGGGACCAGTTTCTAGAGGAGCTTGCCAAGGACGTGGCCCCCGGCGGGATCGAATTCGGCAAACGGCTGGAGACGGTAGAACAAAAAGAGGATGGGAAAGTGTGCCTCGTCTTTGCCGATGGGACAAGCGCCGATGCTGATGCTGGTATGCATGTTCTACTCCGTGTTTCGTCTTCGTTTCAACACAATGCATTCGATGCAGTCTGACAGGCGTACATATAGTCATCGGCTGCGACGGCGTCAAATCTCGCGTGCGCAGGTCCCTCTTCGGCGCGGACAACGAGGCTTCGTACGCCCAGTACACACACAAAGTGGCGTACCGGGGCCTCGTGCCGCTCGACCGTGCGATCGAGGTACTGGGAGAGTGGAAGGCTCACAACTTCCACCACCACGTCGGCCCCGGCGCGCACCTGACCCACTACCCAGTGGCAAACCACACAGCCCTCAACGTTGTCGTCTTCCTGTCCGACCCCGAACCCTGGCCGGACCACAGCAACATGGTGGCCGAGGGCACGCGCGACGAGGTCGCGGCGGCGCTGGGCGGGTGGCATCCGACAGTCCTGGGCCTCGTCAAGCTACTCCCGGAAAAGCTGGTGACATGGGGTCTGTTCGACCTGGGCGAATTTCCGGCGCCGAAATACAACGACGGCCGCGTGTGTATTGCCGGGGACGCCGCGCATGCGTCCAGTCCCCATCATGGTGCGGGGGCTTGTCTCGGGGTGAGCAGGCCACCCCTACTAGCTAATCACCATCTAACGGTGTGCGTATTATGACCAGGTTGAAGATGCACTTTGTCTCAGCGTACTCTTAGGCCAGGTCCGCGCGGCGGCCACGGCTCCCGGTGAGAGTCTGGGGACGGCACTGGCGGCGGCGTTCGAGACGTTCGACTCGATGCGCCGTCCGCGGACCCAGTGGCTTGTGAACAGCAGCAGGCGGGTCTGCGACTTGTACCACCAGTCCGAATGGGCGGACCAGAGACGGTGGACCAAGGCGGAGACGTGTTTTGAGGAGATCAGGGACCGCTCGTACAAGATTTGGCACTTTGATGCCGACGATATGGTGCAGCAGAGTGTAGCGGAGTATAAGAAGAGACTACTCGGGAAAAGGAACGGTTTTGGGAGAGATGTGAATGAAAAGCACGGGTACCGGCTGTGATCTCGCAAACAGAGACCCAGAGGGGTTCAGTTTGAGGTATGAAGTAAAGCATTTGGGTGAGCCCTGAAGCCATTGGTGTAGGCGATTCCTGAGACTATCTTGTGGAATCAGACAAACAAGACAGGGGAATTATTGTCTAGCAAATCGAACAGTTGGAGATCTCGACACCCGAGATCAAACAGGTCCCATAGCTTTACTGACTCAATCTTACTCCCTCAATCGATTCCAGAGCAAATCGACATTCTGGATATATGTAAAGACAGAGGTGGAAGATCACCTGAATGAACGCTTCTCCTTGAACACTTTATCCTCCAAAAACACCTCTAGGGGCCACGCAGCCCCGTCCGTATACCGTACTAATGCTGCTCCTTTCGGGCCGTTCTTGTGCTCATCAAGGTCAAAATCCTCGGGACTTCGAGGAATGTAGGAGGTTTGGGAAGTTTCCTGCCACGCGACGGGACCAATGAGTATCTCTTCTACCTGTTGTTTAATCCTCTCAATGTGCTTAGGATAAAGAAGGCGAGCATTCTTATTAGCTGGGGCCATGAAGTAGCCTCGGACGTTGGTCATGTCCGAGTGCTCACTGAGCGATTCGTGGTATATCATGGAGTCTTTCCGTCGACCGTTCGTCAAAGCATCTAGGACCTGGTCCTGGAATTCGCCCTTGTGGTCATACAGTTTCTCCGGGCCATTTTCTACCGTGGCTCGTTTTTGAGAAAATCCTCTTGTCTCCCACCAATGAGTCATGTACACCCCCTGGTTAGAGGTAAGGATGAGGCTCGTACATTCAACAAGGCCTTGAACAGCAATAGGCTCCTGTCTTCCGTGCCTGGTATGTGCTGGAATGACCGGTATGGACCCTTCGAAGGGGCAGAGGCCATCTCCACCTGGCGCATCAGCCTCCTTCGAACCCACCAGCAATTTGATTACAACACCATCGGAGACGTCGTGCTTCACCTGCGCTACACAGCCTTTGGCAGTGGCGGATCATTGGAGAAGAATGCCTTCGCGTCCGTGGACGCTTGGGTCAAACAGTCCCCGGACGTGAGCCGAGAATATGGAAAAGGGGCGAATGTCTTTGCGATCGACCTGAAGAACGACTACCTGTCCGAATGGTGGCGAGTCGCTTCCACCGGCTGCATGACACTGCATCATATTGATCAACGGCTCCCGTTCTGGGCGCGCAGAGGACGATTCACGTCCGAGAACATATCCCTACTCATCACCCCCGAGCCGAGCGCGCCTGGAGATATAAAGATAACGATACCGGGACAGGCGGATATCCATGGAGCAGAGGACGGAAAACTGGGGGATTACTTCAAGTTTACGTTCCCTGGAAAGCCTGTTGCTGAAGCGAGCACGCCTTGGACGATGCATATCAAGAGTGACAGGGACGGATTTTAGCGCGGCTGGCTCGTGGTACAATATTCGGTCAACTGAGTGAGGGGGAGATAGAGGTTTAGTTCGCTTTCTCCCTTTATCAGTCTGTATATACGTGCTTAGGGCCAGGACCCCTGATTCCAGATGCTCCACAATCTGTGAATCAGCTTTTCCCATATGGGACTACCACTCTTCATCTTCATGCTGAATATATTTCGGCGGACGTTTGACGCGAATTGCGTCAGGATCTTGGATTGGACCGGTACAATGCCAGTAGAGATTCTCTGAAATGCTTAGAAACACGGTTTACTCATTCTCTGTGCTCACTCCCCCCGTTCGTAATACACAACGCGATTCGCATCCTGACGGCGACAAAGCCGAGGTAACGAGTGCACCACCACGGTCAACGGCCAGTTCATTGCACACTCTGTCGGGGCCCGCATTCCGAGCAACACGTCTTCAATGCCGTTTACCGTCTGCTGCCGCTGTTGCAGTGCACGGCGCAGATGAGGACTATCCTTTGGCCGAGTGCGGCTGTTCAGGTGGTGGATATCAGCGGCACGAGCGGCGGCCACCCGTGTCGGTTTCAGCACCAGTTTTTCAAGAGGTATTTCCAAGCTGCAGAGCACAAGAGCCTAAATCGATTAGACTAGAGTTAAGCGCATACAATAGATAGAGGAGGGGACCTACTCCACAGTTCACGGGTGAGCCACAGGGCTCGGCGAGGCGAGAAAACTCGACTCTCCTGTCGTTGCGAGCCTGGGAGAGTAATGCATCTGCCCAGGACGTACTGACCATGCTTACTGAGACAGTCAAGTCTTTAATAGACGCGCACTGCGATAATGCAGCGGCAGCAGAGGGCCCATAGCACCAATTACCCTCGTAGATCGACGTAAAAGCCAGGGTGGCGAGGGTACCCCGGACGTGGGGGACAATTTTCCCCCAAAACGTTTCCTCCAGTTCGTCTTCCTCCTGTTGCTGGTCCATCTGCAGGCCGATGATTTCCAGCTTATGCAGTCCGGTGTAGGTGAGCAGGTACTGGAACATGTCGTCCATTGCTCGTTCCGAACCAGACACTCTGAGCGCGGATAGCTCCGTGCGGGTTTCCCGCAGGCTAGACCATAGTGCTTTCCAGTCGAAATCCACGCCACGGGAGCCTGGAGGGGTTGAGACGCTCAGCTGCCGCAGCGTAGAGGGCAGGGTGTCTCTTAGTCCAGGGCTAGGAAGAGGGACAAGCTCTAACTCTAGTGTCTGCAGGCCAGGCTTGGCTGTGTTGAAGAAACGCTGTAAGGAGACACACTCCCTCACAATCCGGTTGAAAGTTGGGGCACGCAAGTTCTGTACGGAGAATTCGGTCAGTGCTGGCGATGCCTCGATCACCGGTGTGATCTCCCGCTCGCAGTATAGTCGGGGTAGATCATCACAGCAGGCCACAGCGAATCGGTGCAGATTCTTGAAGCTGTGGAGGGCTGGCAATGGCTGATGTGCCACGCGGTGAGGTTGGCCCTTGATAGATAGGATCAGAGTTTGAAGTGAAGAAAGGGATGAAAGCGCTCTGGTCACTGGTGCAAGCACGGTTGAAGGATCCCAGTCACGATCATAGGTCCAGCTGTGGAGGAGGGCAGTAGTATTAATTACATATCTCTTCATGGAAGAGGGAAGGGAATCTCATCGCAAGGTAGGGGAGAGTACCGAACAGTCTCTAGATTGCACAGCTTTGATATTGACGGTGCCAAATGCTCCAGGAGGATAGCCTGGACGCGCCCCTCATCTATTGACTGATCATCGTCCTCATCGGGGCCGTGATATGCCAGGTGCAAGGCGGCGATATAAAGGATTCTGACGTCAGAAACGAAAGTACATAAGGGGTTTGTTATGGATTCTATGAGCTGAAGCTGGCGGCGTGGGTGGGGATGAGATAGATCAAAAGAAATCTCGGAGAAGAGGCGTGGGGTAATTGCAAGTGCAAAAGCCCTACAGGCGCTCCGCAGAGAAAGAAGCGACGGAAGTGGGAGACAGTCCAAGATCAGGCCAATAATCTCCGGGGCCAAATCTAGTAGCATCATGGCAGGTAGTGGCTTTGTGATAAATGATGAGATGTTACTATTGTTGAGGATCCTTAGAAGTTAGCTTCATCAACGCAGTCAGGTGACTGAATGGCTATTATAGATGTAACGCTGCACATCTCCTCTTGTCTTTTCAAAGGGTTGAATTACTGAAACCATATGTGTTTCTATCCCCTTTTTCCGAGGCTCATCTCGTCATTTAGGGCAGGTGTTTGTCTCAGTTACATGGCAGTAGTTATACACCTATCCCGCTGATCTGAAAAGGTCAACTGCGAGTAGATTGTCTTTAAGCTCTTCACATAGGGCCTTGACTAGGCATGTAATATGCGCAGGTACCTGGCTTTGAGCCGGAGGTACATCAATGATAATCTTGAGGATGGAGTGGACAGCACTGGTGCAGTGATTGCAACTAGGTCATACTGAACTAGTATCAGCAGCAGAGACATGCACGCAGTCCAACTGAGAATATGGGTCAACACCCAGTAATCTGACTCAGGAATAGCCGGACATGTGTCGCCCAACATAGGGCGTGATGCATAGAAGTCTGAAGGAACAGGCAATCTTGCAGTGAATTGGTCATTATACTTTTATACATGTGACATATGCAACAGCATGCAGCAGTCAATCAATCTAAGCCAATCAATGGTCAGCCATGGTGCAGCAAGTGTTTCTGCTGACGGTGTGTCAAAGGAGGATTGTCGGACATGAAGCCAGACACTGAAGCATAGAAGCCATATAGAACACATGAAACTTTCTCCCAATGGGGACATGGCAGAGGATTTTTATTTCTGATTGCTAAGAGCACTACTACATTATTACCCCCTGCTCTCGTGTTTGATGCTCAGTGGCCACTATAGATCGGTTGTAATCCAGACCAGGGTACAGCTGGTGCTGATGTGAGAAGCCACCTCCTACTAGCCTAGAAGGATAATAGGACGGCTCATTGATACTGGTAGATCCTCGGAATACATACTCTGCTCATCCCTCTTCTTGCCCGCAAGCTATCCTCTATACCCAACCAAATCCATATCTACTTACCTACCGAACTGCCAAACTGCAAACATCAGATACAAAGAAAATGGTCTGCGCATTTGTCCGAGTCGCCAACAACACCAACTCCCATGTCCACTACTTCAATACCGAAAGCAAAAAAGGATCACTGTGCCCCCCAAGTCGCAACAGCAGGAGAACAACGATTGGATCCCCGCAGAATCCTGCGACGACTGGGTCCCCTACGCGGACACTGGCAATTACATCGAAGTGACCATTGGGGACTCGGCACCGGTGCACATCTCCGACGATGACTACAGGTGGAAGTTTGTGGACTACCCCGATGGGGATACAAGGGAGGGGAATGAGTCCTGGGTGGAGGGGCTTGAGGCGACGCAGTATGTGCTGCTGTTCAAAGAAGTGGAGGAATGAGGGCGCATGGAGGGGGCCTTCTCCATCTACAAGTATGAAGAGGAAGAGATGGGAACCATCGGCTATATTCTCTCTTCGGTCCTCCAGAATGCGGCTCCGGTTGTTGCCCTGGTTTTGATGGCCATTTTTCTGTGATCCGGTCCAATCCAAACCTTTCACTTGCACCCTAGAACGGCCATCCTGGTGGACGGCATGGCGTAGCTTGTAGCCTCCCAGGGTTCGTCGAGGATTTCTGGGTCAATGGGCATAGCTCTGTGTGCATTTGGAAGTCAAAAGCTCCTCCTGTATCTATCTTCCCTTTTTCCCCATGTGAGCTGCGACATGGCAAACAAATAAAATTGTTTTCCGGGGACATTAGCCCTCTCTGAGTAGGAGAAACGCCCCCTTAGAACATATGAAAAGCTGTCTCGAAGAGTCCTTGCTTATGGCAACTGCGGATCAGATGGTAAATATCCCCCATGCTTGGCGGAAGCCCACACTGCTCTTAAGTACACTGTAAATAGGACTGCGGTGTATACATCTGTATCTATATAGGAGAGAAGGTCCTGGTTCACTGCTCATTTAAATCCCACATGTGTGAGATATTTCTTAAGATCATTCATGGTATTGATGCTTGTTCTGTAAGGCCAGCAGGAAAGTATCTAATGCACATTGTGTATATAATCTCTTTAAGGGTCTTCTTCCTATGACATCTGGTCTATATCTAACCAGGATTTAATTGTGGAATCAGCATCCTGTTTCTTATTAATTTGTGGTGCATTTAAAGAAGCTAATAGTTACGCAGCTCTGAATGGGGAGGCAATCAGATTTATAGGTTGTATCACCAACATGCGGCCATATCAATAGAATTCTAGGTAAACAACCCATACATTTCCCGCTTCGACAAGGATTGCCATGAGCAAAAAGTGCCCATCAAAGCAGCATCATTCCATTTCACAATCTCTTCTCATTCAATCGTGCGTACACAACAGAATCAAATAACTTGACAAAGGTACTTATACCTTCTATTAGCTTATGATATAATAAGGGTTGTCGACAAATTCAGAGCAGAGGTATTGGTTCCAGCTGGGTTACCAGACCTGGCCATATGGGCCACAGAATATGAACCTGCTTCGTACCCTGCCTTGCCAACGTAAAGATTCTCCATCGGTTGATACCAATTGTCTCCGCGTTGGTTCCGCTGCAAAAGCTCCGCTAGTGCTCTTCAGTCATTCTGCAAGTTCCAATCTGGGTGTCGTATGAGTATCCCAGCCCTTGAAAGTCTTCAAATCTGGTGACATCATTTAGTCAATGTACGCCCAAGACACTTCAGTAGACCAAGTCATGCCATGGCCTGGATTCGGCTACAATGGGACAGGGGCTGGAGCCCAACCATTTCAAGGTTTCTTCAATAGAAGCTCCTCTGGTCCTCCTATCCCACTCAACGCCGCAAAGGCCCTGTTGTTACAGGCCGACCTGGTGACCAAGACTCCCAAACGCGTCGAAGCCCAAGGGAGCTCCCCAGATGGCTTTGCTGTTTTAGCAGGTCGCTCGGCGGATAACAAGACGGTACAGGTCTTGTTGAATAACTACAAGTTCGACTATGACATTGCGCTCGAGATCACGCCCCAGATAGTGAGTAGGATCTACCCAAGGAACTCGCAGACCGCCGTTGTTCCTAACAGGAAAAAACTCTGGCTTGCAGGTACCTAGCTTGAACACGTCTACGACAGCATATCCACTTCTTCAAGACAATGGGCGTAAGTAGCCACCGAAGCTCGAGAGCAGCTAGCGCGGAAGAACTGACTGCTCTTTCTGCAGTTATGAATGGCGAGTCGGCATGCTTTGTAACTGGCGGTAAGCCAGGGCCCAAAACGCCCCCTGTAGGTCTGAAATCAGCTAACATACTACTACAGCTTGCTTGACGTTTCCTCAACCCACCTGGAGGAACAACACCAGTCAGTCGTATCACCTGAAGCTTGTTAATTTGCCCTGGAAAAAGACGGATAGCTACAAACTTGAAGTGCGAAGGGTAGCAGACGCGGACGCCGAGGATGTCTATCTGGCAAAGCAAGGCAGGGGTAATGTTATTGGTGGGTACAGTTTGCGATTTCATCATGCTCTAGCATTGCGCAACTACTGATAGTATTAGACCTTGAACTCCCATTTCCAGCCAATGCACAAGATCTCGTGGTCATAGAGAGATTAAGCTGATACATGAAGCTCATTCGACAGTCATTTTCTATTCCTAGAACTAGACGTTAGACCCTGAATTGTTTAAAAGGCTGTGTGAATTAGCATCTTAGTGTTTAACATAAGTACTTCCTGCCAAGTGAGCCTGCCTGAATACAAAGGCATTCTATTTAGACCTTTGAATCCATATAACTTCTGAATAAAAGTCTCATGGTATGAACTATAGATTACTAATCACTCTCAAGCTGAAAAATGACAGGAAATCTTCCCTAATGTTGGCTTGTGTGAATACTCTTGCCTTATAGCTAGTAGCCTCTGCTGCCGCGCTCAGCAAGCTTTATTCAGAAATCAGAATAACCAGAAAAGAGAGATGATTACGCTCGCAGAATGGAACAGAATATGCCTTTAAGAGGTTTCTGGGGCTCTCAAAGCACCTAAGACCTAGGAAATCATGCTTATGTCGCAACTCTGCAGCATCCAGCAGAATCACCCTATATATAGGATCTAGATAACATTGCATATGCTCCTCGGTATCTTGGTAAGGTAGTTGTCAAGCAATCCAAGCTAACAAAAGATATATAGTAAAACATATACAATAGAATGAATAGGGATAAAGGTCTGATTCTCCTATCTACCTCTAGATACTAGTATTTATAGATAGGAGGTGCAATATTAGCTGGAAACAGAATCATATAGAAGGTAAAATATAAGAAATATAACAAATTAGAGGTATATCAGTGGGTTGAGCCATGATAGCATTCTTGCAATAGAATTCCAGGATGTTCTGTAAATCCTACCGAGGTCGGTAATCTGGTTGACAGTATCCGTAGTTCTCCCACATGGACATAGTTAAGTCCCAACGGACAGGCTGACAAAGCCAGCCACTAAACCTAACCTGGGTAGAAGCATGAAAGTCCATTACCTTACAATAATAGTAGTACTATCTAGTATCTACAGACTACCTATATTCACCTGATCAAAACCCCCTTCCAGCAGGACCACTAGTCCACGACCACACCATTCTAGCCAACCTCAGTGAGCTTCTCAGCGTTTCAAGGGTCAATGCAGGGCCGGTGTACTGAGTCTTTTCCTCATCTAAGACAGTTCTGACCATCCTTGTATCGCCCTGCCAGGCGGGTCCTTGGATCTAATTGTGATTTGTGACACTGTGACACGAGTTACGAAGCCGCAATCCATCTCGATTCCATTTCGCTCCCTGTCAACGCTGCTATCACTGCTCTGCTCCCCATCATGCAATTCGGAAAGTCACTTGGAGCGGCATGCGGTTCGTTCGCCATCACCAATATCGACGACATGTTTGTCCTGGTCACCTTCTTTGCGGAGGCGTCCGCCAGCAGAACCGTGACTCCCCTCAAGATTACTGCCGGTCAGTACCTCGGGTTCACAGTCATCATCATCATCAGCATGATTGGTTTCGGTGCCTCGCTCTTGATCCCCGCTGAGCCCATTGGATTCCTCGGTCTACTGCCCATTCTCCTGGGCATTTGGAAGTTCTTCGACCTTCTTTTCCCGGAGGAGGAAGACGAAGAAGAATCGGAGAAATCAAAGATTGCCGGGGTGAAGAGCATACTCAAAGTCTCAGCCATCACAGTGATGAATGGGGGCGACAACATCGGAACATATATACCGCTGTTCGCGCAAGCAAAGGGAGCAGAGATCGCGGTATATATTGTCACTTATTACATCCTAGTCGGCGTGTGGTGTCTCGTCGCGTTCCTGGTCATGAAGCAGAAGCATATTCTGCTCGTGGCTGAGAGATATGCGAGTGTGGTGGTCCCTTTTCTCTACCTGGGCCTCGGCGTGTACATCGTCGTCAAGTCGTCGTGCTACCCGTGGTCGATCCAACACATTGACGATTCAACCTCTGCACACCCGGGCAAAACTATCATGGCTGTTGTGACTACGGTTCTCCTTTTGATATGCATTGGCGCTATGCTCTGGTGCAAGCTGCGGAAGAAAGCTGCTCAACCTCCTGACTCCAACACCTCTCAAGAAGACAGTCCTTCTCCTATTGCGGAAGGTGAGCTTGAGGGCTCACATACCCCCACCTAAACGCTCATTGTTGCTTTGATCCTCTGTTTCTATATAATCATTTCCATAGCTATCAAGGGTTTTAGGGTTCTATTAAGTCTCTATAATAAGGATTCCTATTCTACCCAGAAGGAACCTCTTGTGTTATGTGATCTAAGTCTGGATGCACATAGAAGGCGATCGCAAGGATCAAATACCTAAATCAGATCAGCGTGTGATTCATGCAAGACAGGAGTGGCAGGTCACCTACATGCCAATCAATAAATAGCCTTGGAACCAATTGGAGTGGCCCTCCCGCATGAGGCATCTGGTCAAGATCACCGCGAGCGAAAAGACGGCAATTTCAAAGGTATTGAAATGGAGCGACATGGGCTGATCAATAATCCAGCCCCAAACGACCATAAGCGGAGTGACAAACACGGCGATTTGCAACGTACTCTCGGCGATGAGTCCGATCGCTAAGCCCAAATTCCCTTTGATGGCGGCGTTGACGGTGGTGCTGAATTCCCCCGCATTCCCGACGACTGGAACGACGATCAGACCGATAAACGCCCTGCTGATCCCCCAGGTTTCGACCATGCCATCAACGCTGTCGACAAGGCTGTCGGAGCAGGTAGTGACTCCCAGGGTAGCCAGGATGAGCACCAGACTGGCGGACCACGGACCCAGCCGGATTTCCTCCTCGCCATCCTCCTCACCATCACAGACAAACACCTCCGCGTGGCTCTTCAGCTTGAAGTAGAGATATACCAGATAGAAGAGGAGAAGAACGATGGCTGCAGCGCGAGACAGGTCCAGGACGCTCTCTGCCGTGTCGGTGACCGGGCCACGAGTGGTGACATATAGAGCGGATGGGATCAGGAGAAAGGAAGTGATCACGACCATTAATGAAGACATAATCTGACTGACATCTGGGCTGAAGCGGAGAGTCTCTCTGTTATAGCCCCCGGCAAAGAAACAGGAGCCGAGGATCTTGATGTTGATTAGCAAAGTAAGTAAGAAGGGGACTCATAGTCATCATACAAGAAGGTCTCCTGACAGTACACTTCCGATCATGCTGGCCTGAACAATATGAATTTCACCTCTGTTGACGGCGGTCGCACCCACCTACCCTCGATGAGCCTATTTCCGGAGAGGAGTTCTACAACATCCCTTACAATCATTTCTACCGCGTTTCCAAAAGTGGCATTGATCAATCCTCCCACGGCGGCGCCGACACTTTTCGCGAGTTCCTCTGTAGCAAAGGAAAGCAAGGAGGCGAGAGGGAAGATCGCCAGTAGGTTGAGAACAAACGTCGCTGTATCTCCCCAGCCCAAAGATGCGGAAGCGATGCCCAGAAATACCGAGGGAAGGAACAGGTTCGCACAACTCGAGGCCAACGTTGTCCTGATCCCCGTCCAGAGAGGCTGGATGTAAATCTCCCGAGCGCTCTCCCGCAGAAACGTATCCTCATTTAACAGAGGCTCATTCTCAGGAGACGGCGGCTCGGCAACATGCTGCTGGGAGGAGGAAGACATTGGGTGCCGGAGTCGAGACATCTTCAAGCCAAAAACCACAGTTCTGTCAGTGAGCCAGGAAATGTTCCCTTGGTTTCCTGTGATATAGCTTACTAATGAGACAGTGGATAACTAGCACTATACGGAGTATGATCCTGATTATTGATTGGGTAGAGAGATGGAATTAATGTGGTTGCCTAGCGGTCCAAGCTTTTCAAGCATATCCCGTGCGCGGGCTGGCCCCACTTTAATGCAAGACTTTGGCTGGTAAGGCTGATCTATTGCCCAATCAGAAGTTAGCAGCCTTCTTAAACCCCCTGAAGGTCCGAGCCCGTTCCGCGGTACGCACTTGTACTAGCTAATACCATACATACCGTACCAATGGATGCTATACCGTACTGTACTTTACCATTTCTACACAACTGTAACAGACTAACTGGGTGACTGAGAGAAAAAGATTCCAAGCACCAAGCAAAGCAAGCAAGCATCCTGCTTCAACCTCATCGAACTTCGCCTTCACAATGAGACCCGACCAGAATCCTCAGATCGTCAGCCCACTTGTATCTCCTTCTCCGCCGTCGGTCGTATCCCGAAGAGGAACTTCCATAATGTCTGGGTCGAGTGATCCCCGCCAACCGCTTGTGCACCAGGATTCATGGCGTCCCTACCACCGGATAACGGCCAAAATATGCCACAGCTACCTCAGTGCCCTGCTGCTCCTGGTGCCAATAGGCTTCATCGCGGGTATTCTTGGATGGCCTGATGTGGCAGCTTTCCTTCTTAACCTCGCTGCGATTGTCCCTCTTGTATCATGGATGACCCTCTCGCTCAGCGAGTTGTCCGCGAGTGTCACACCTCTTGTCGACGAATTGTGCAAGGCTACTTTGGGAAACGCTGTGGAGCTGACGGTGAGTTCTCCTTTCTGATGGATTTGCTTCTTGCTCATCATTCACAGGTTGGTGTCATCGCGGTAGCTCGAGGCCAAGTTCGAACCGCACAGTCCGTACTGCTTGGAAGCACCCTTTGCTACCTGCTGCTCGTGAGTCCTCACTTCCCTTCCCAGGTTGAGGCGTTTACTCTTCTCTCCTAACTCATCGTTCTCCCACTTTGAAATCGGATTAGGTGCTCGGTAGCTGCTTTTTCGTCTCCGGCTACAACAAGAAGAAACTCGCCTTCGATCGAACCCTGACTGGCATCCTCTCTTCGGTCCTGATGGCTGCAGCCGTGTGTCTCATGATCCCAACCGCTTTGGCCATGTTTCTGTCACCCGGGGCTTTGAGTCGCGGTGATATCACGCACGTCACCCGTGGAACCACCGTGATTCTCTTCCTCCTTCTCCTCGTCTTTCTCTTCTTCCGACTCCGGACGCATACATCCTTCTTCAGAGCTGCCCCCACCGGTGTCTCCACACAAAGTCCCCAGATTCCTGCAGTCCGGTCCTGGCGTCCGGCCATCACCTTGATCGCGAGCGTCCCGTCCATTGTCCTCTGTGGCTTCTTCATGGTGGGCAGCTTGCGCGGGTTTTCAAAGTCCACCGGAATAAGCCAGCACTTCACCAGCCTGGTCCTGATCCCGCTGGTCGGGAACTCGACCAGGTTTCTAAGTATAGTAACCGTGGATAGGGACGATAGAGGCGCTTTGGGGATCAGAGCCGTGATCACCAGTGCGCTACGGATCACTCTGCTTGTTGTGCCCTGTGTCGCTTTCCTGGGCTGGATCGTCGATGTCCCGACGATTCTCATGTTCGATGCATTCGATACAGTCGTCTTTCTGGTCTGTGTTATAGTGACCAATTCCATGACTCATAATGGAGAAACCAACTACTTTGAGGGACTGATGCTGGTCGGAAAGTACGTCTTCCTCCCCTTCTTACTCAATGAGCCGTTGTTCTAATCCGATATCAATATCTCCAGGTATCTGATAGTTGTGCTTGCCTTTTATCTCCGGCCGGAAACCCCGGAGAATATCCTGTTTCTCTAACCTCGGTCCATAATTTCATGTACTGTCGCAAAGCTATTTGATCGATTGAAATACCCATTTCCTTTACTCTTGATGTTGTTCGAACACGAAAAAAAAAGTATTTCCCATAGCCCACCGGCCTACCCTCCAAACTCGTAGATGGTGCTCACGAGAATAGCATACCTAGGAAGAAAAACACGGTGAGCACTCCACATCGGAAGCCTGAAACTAAGGCCAAACTCACAAAGCAATCAGCACGATCCCCTGGGTATAGGTATATCTCCCATCCTGAAGCAGCTGGTCGACGACGAGCGCGGAGAGAAAAAGTATGGCGGTGTGCCAATTCTCGAAATCCAGGGACATGGGTTGGTTCAGGAACCAGCCCAGGATGACCAGAACGGGGATCAGCAATAAGCCGATCTGGAGGACGCTGTCGACGATGACACCGACGGCGGAATCGGCGTCGCCGCCGCGGACCGCCATGATGACGGCGCTGCCTTCGGGACTGTTACTTGCCAATGGGATGAGGACGGCCCCGACGAAGGTTTTGGTGATCCCGGTGGTCTCGACGGTCCCGTCGATGCTGGCGAAGACGAGGTAGCTGCAGAAGACGGTCGCCAGGGTGGCCGAGGTCATTTTGAGGGTCGAGGCGAGATGGCCGGGAGCCGCGCTGGGGGGCTCTTCGGTGTTGTTTGGCTTGTCTCCGTCGTCCTTGGATTCAAAGAGATGTCTGTGAGTGGATAGGTGGAAGTAGAGGTACCCAAAGTACAGAGCCAGGAGAATGGCAGCGGTACTACAGGAGAAGGATAGAATCCGGTCGTCGAGATTGGTGCTTGGGGAAGTCGAGTAGAGCGCTGTCGGGAGGATGATCGTCACCACCGTGATCATCATCAACGAGGACAGCGACTGTACCACGGTAGGATTGAAGCACCGAACGTCCTTGTCGTACGACGCCGACACCAAACAGGCTCCGAGTATCTAGCAGAATAGTTTAGCAGGGGGGGGGTTTAATCTGTTGTGGACGAAGAGACTGACCAACAGAACGTCCGACAGGATACTCCCTATCATGACGGACTGCGCAAAGTCTATCTCGCCATGGCTGAGTCCTAGAACACTGGTCTGGAAGCACTATGGTTAATTTGACAGTCACTCATGAGAGGAGGGGGACTGCTCTCACCGTCAATTCCACGGCATTGCCGCACGTCGCGTTCACTAATCCACCGCCCAATTGCCCCAGGTAACCAGACAGGGCGTCTGAGGATGAAGAAACCAAAGCCGAGAGCGGGATGATGGCGATTATGTTCAAGACCAAAACAAGCCACGGTTCCCAATGGAACAGACCAGCAATAATTCCCAGGGGAGGGAACACCCACAGCAGGGGAGTCGCCAAGCTGAGGACTGCGTTGGCTCCTTCATACGCACCTGCTGGACTCCTGCGAGTCTCCGAATCGTCTGATCGGTCCATGGAGGCCATAACGACTTTCTCGTCGGTTGGATTTGGAAAGCTTGTGTTTGTGTTGTGTTCGTGGTCGCTTGTATCTACCTACACTTTTAAGTTGTGGGAAGACGGTAAGGTATATTACAATACTGTATTGAAGATACCTTACTGTACGATGGGCGCCATGTATTGTTCGTGTTCAGCCTTGTCCCGTCATAATCCAGATCTACCTCTCTAGCAGTCTAGCATTAGGCCGCTGCCAGCCTGTTGAAAAGGAAATCAGGGGCCATGAGGCTATACGGAGTAGACAAAGACTCTTCCCATCACAGAATGCGCGCCGAGCATCGTGGGTTCAAGGGTATGTACGCGAGAGGTCCTCCAGCGTAAGTACACTTGAATAGCTCATCGCAGTTCTAAAATGTCAACTCGGACGGCAGAACCGTAACTACGCCAAGGCTAACGGGCCATTGGCATCAGGGCTGCTGCTGCTGCTGCTGCTGCTGCCTAATCTCTCCAGGACTATTCAACTTAGTCAGCGATCGATGTGGGGAGGATAGCAGCCTCTCTCTCTCAAGACTTACACTCAATTCTAAAATACACATCTCTTAAGACAAAGAAAACCATTTCGCCAATTCTGAAACATCCTATCATATCGCGTTTCCTGTGTACGGAGTATTGTGCAGCCTGGGCAGCTTGGTCTGCAGAAACAGACTACCCCTCCGGACCAATGGAGGCGGCCCAAGAAGCATCAATCCTAGCAACGATTCGATGTTTACCAGCGAATTACCGAACCCAAGGCCGTCAGGAAGAAGCGGAAGACGTGCAGAATGCACTAGATGAAGCGGGGGAACGGTCGCCTCTCGACTGTATCACTGTCCTGGGACTGCTCGACGATCTGGTCGTTACTTACCTCAAACGGGGCCGATGGAAAGCAGCACAAGACCTTGGGAAGATCGTGGTGGAAACCCGAACGAGTCTCTTTGGCGAGGAACACCCTTCAACCGTGACCGCTATGGGTAACTTGACATCTGCCCACTGGGGCCAGGGCCATTGGAGTGACGCTGCAGCCCTTGGTTCACGAGTGGTGGATATGAGGAAAAGGCTTTTGGGAGAAGAGGACCCACGGACGCTGACGTCAATGACGAACCTGGCTTCAACCTACAGCAGCCAAGGCCGGTGGAGGGCGGCGGAGGAGCTGGAGATACAGGTCCTGGAGGCCAAGAGAAGGACGCTCGGGGAGGAACATCCCTCGACCTTGAGCTCGATGGGGAATCTGGCCACCACATATGGTAACCTGGGTCGACACAGCGAAGCCGAAAATCTCGGGAAGCAGGTGATCAGGGTCAGTAGCAAGGTTCTCGGTGCTTCCCATGAATCCACAATCACATGGAAGTCAAACTTGGCCTCGACCTACCGCGATCAAGGTCGACTAAATCACGCCGAGGAGTTGGAAGTGGAGGTTATGGAAGCAAGGATCGCGAGCCAGGGACCCGATCACCCGCTGACTCTGACGGCGATGGCGAACCTCGCGTCGACCTATCGAGATCAGTGCCGATGGGCCGACGCAGCAGGTCTCGAGAAGCAGGTAGTGGAGACGAGCAGGCGAACGCTTGGCAACGACCATCCCCAGACCCTGATGTCGATATGCAATCTCTCCTTAACGTACCGTGGTCTAGGCTTGTTAACTGACGCTGAGCATCTGGGAATCGACGCTTGGACAGCTATGAAAGCAGTGCTTGGGGAACAGGACCTGCTCACGCTCATAGCTATGACTAACCTCGCATTGACATATCACAGCCAGGGACGGTTGAACGACGCTGAGAGTCTGACTCTGGAAGCGCTGGAAAAGATGCAGAATATCCTCGGCTCCGACCATCCTCATACTCTCACGGCAATGGCGAATCTTGTGACCATATATGAGGGCCAAGGAAGATGGGAGACTGCGGCGCAGCTGAATGAGCAAGTGGTCAGAAGGAGGAGGAGTACACTGGGTGATCAGCATCCACATACACGTGCTTCGATGGAAGATCGGCTGATGATCTACCGGGTCAATATCGCGGATGAAATGGCATAATGGCTATGAGTTATGGGTGTACAGGATTTTTCGCACACTTTCAATATGTTATAAAGGTTCCTTCACTGTGTATCAGACAGCTGGATCTTAGGAGTGGATGCTGGCCATCGCCTTGAGCACCATGTTTGGAAGCCTGTTGAGAATCATGAATAAAGAAATTGTTTTCCTCTTTGACCCTTTTCAGGAATAATTCTTTGAAAGAGAAGAGGTGGAAGGGATGTTGCGACATATATATCCTTGGTGGTTTCATCTAGGTTTTGCTCAGCCACACTTGGCAACTATCCACAGTAGCATGTGCAGCAGACTTGATGCTATGTGACGATTGATTATTAGCTAATATCTCCGGTCCTAAATTAACGATAAATGCAATCCACCTAAATGTGCAATTTGCCGCCTATTTATTTGCGTCCAGATGACTCTGCCAGGCACTCTTTCTCCAAGATCGTTCGTACAAACAATGGTGGGCCATTAGCCGACATTTGGAATCGACCATATTCCATGAATTCCCTCCTTACGCAAGCCAGCAACCGATCGAGAAGAGGTTATTTTCAGATAGCAGCCTATATAATCTCTGAAACAGCCCAATTGCCCTGAGAGCCTGTACTGAAACCCTCGACGCGAGAAGCAGTCGTGCTCTGCAAAGGGCTCCTAATGGTCCAACAAATGTATAATAAGATAAATGCTCACAAATAGCCATGTTGTTGGCGCAGTGGTACTGCATTATTCCAAAAAGGACTGCTCTTCGGCTTTGTAGCAGATTAAAGAAGAACTCCAGAACTAGGTCCCGCAGTCAAATATACTTTCTACGCTGCCGATGAACGATCACCTAGTGATTATAGGCTGGATTAGTGGAAGTTGGGGTACTGCATCAGTGTATGGTCTAGACTATCTAGCCATCTACATGCTAGGTGCTTTAAATGAGAAGTAATGATTTTGGTTACTTTTGATTCCCTTTACTAATGGAGCTCAGTAATGGGTTACATCAACTTAGAGAAGGCAGGTGTTTATAATGGAGATGATGTCTGCTAGGCCTTTGTAAGGAGAGGCTGATGGCTTTAGGAGAGTTGGCAGAAGGTGTTGGCGATTTCAAAGGAAATCCACCAGTTGGTTGAGGTGAAGGTGCAGTAATTATGCTAATGCAAAGTATTATGCAGTCTAACCCAGTGTATTTCTAATTTCTTATAACTGGTCTGGATTACTACGATATAGTCTGAATAGATCATCTGCATACTCCCGCTGATGTTATGTCTCAAGTGGGTTATATAAATTCCTAGCTTTGATCATCACGGAGCCAAGCAATGTCTGAATAATCTACTAGTATAATAAGATCGGATCTTGCAACGCCCCGAAAGCTTAGCGACGCGGGCCGCAGTATATGAGATTAGGGTTCGGATATTACCAGTCATGCCGTATGAGCTACACTTGTTTCAGAAAAGATCCACGAAGACAAGAATAAACTAATAGTTTTGCTATCCTATGATTTCATGAACAGCAAGACGAGTGTCAGCGCATCATGGCATCATGCCCAAAAATGCCCACGACTACCATTACAGTCTCCCATCATTCGCGCAGGGACTGCGTTTTCTCCATCTGCCTCTGAATTTCCAGAGCATAATCGTCAAGCTCAAGGCGACCAATATCAATGACCCGTAAATGTCTGCATTTCGCAATATGTTCGATTGCGTTCTGGTTGATAGTGTGGATTCCGAATGCCGGGTAGTGCAGGCTGAGGATTTGAAGCTCGTCGAACTTTGGTAATTGCTCTAGCCAATATTGGTCCCCCCATCCAAGGTACAATGCCTTCAACCTCGGCCATGGGTTTCCCTGCCCTTCACTTGTTAATTCCAAGGGTGGGGAACAATGGTGGAGGATCAGCGCCAACGCCTCGAGATTTTGGTGTCGTCGAAGGCATGATAGGAGTTTCGCAGTGTTAGATTGGGTCAGGCTTTCAGCATCAGCATCGTCACTTTACTCAAGGTGGAAGAACTGCAAATTGCAACGTTCAAGCAATCGGCAAAGCCCATCAATATTCGGGTCACTATTTGATTGGTAGACTGTGAGAGCTTTGAGGTTTGAGAACTTATCCTGCCAGGGTCAGACATGCTTTATTGTGAAGGGGGAGAATCACAGGCCAGACAAAACTCACAGCGGGGGTGATCAGTCCCTGGGAAGAGCTGGGGCTGGCCAGCAAGAGTTTACAGTAGTACTTATCAATAGCCAAGTACTCAATGGTTGGAGTGAGAAGGAGGTCGGACATGAGAGACCAATCTTGACCCTGGATCTCAAAGGGGATGACAAGGCTTGCCAGACCCCTTCCTTGCGGCCGCAAAAGGAGTTCAGCATATTTGCGATGGCGCAACGCGCGACACTTTTCATAGCATATAAGCCTCCTATCCGGTAGTGCCATTTTATCAATTGCAGGTTCCTCAGGAGAAAGGAGAAGATGCTTCACGAAGCTCATATTTCGAGCAAAGCGCTTCCGTGATGCCACAAAGAGGCAATTGAGTAATCCAATATGAGGCGTGCGGAACTGCATGTCATTCAGGGAGCCCTTGTAGAGCTTCTTTAAGGCTGCCACATTCCAAATGTGGTTCACACAGGCACAGCTCAAAAGATCTGGGACCATGTGAACATTGTTGATGACAGATGCGACAATTTCTGGGAGCAAAAGTGGATTTGATACGTTTCCACGAGAGACAGCAGCCATCATGACTGGGGGAGAAAAACAAGAAATGACGGCGATGCTCAGTCAGAACAGAAACAAAGCAATGTGGCTCTCATGGCAAGGCAAACTGCGGCGCTAAGCCTTTTACTGGCTTAGTCAGCACGCAGTGCCAAGCCCTCCTATCAGGCAGTCAGCTTGACCGTCAGCACTCAGCAAGCATCCACTGAAACTACCTGTGATACTCTTCTCCCTTAGGTCATCAAGCATTCTCTGATTTGGGTTCTAAAGGATAACGAGCGGCTACTGGAGCTCTGTGCTTAAACAACCCTGCACTTGTTGGTCATCGAATCTGCGTAGAAGGCAATGGTGAACATAGGCGGACGGAGTAAAGGTTGCAGAACCTGTCGACGACGCAAAGTAAAATGCGGTGTGTTTGCTGCTACTGCCTCGCTCATGAACAATGGATACTAACTATCGACTAGACGAAGCAAAACCTTACTGTGACCGTTGCAAGAAAGGCGGGTTCCACTGCGACGGTTATGTCAGCCACGTCGAATTCATAGATGTAACTACTCGATTGACTCGGGGCCGATCTGCAGAACGAGATCAGTCATTGGTCACGTCAGTGCCAAAAGCGGAAGCAGCTCGGGATGTTGGAGACTCAATCTGCATCAACCCCCAATGGGATGAGCAACACATTTGTGTCTCGCACCTGGTCAATCGTCTGTTTACGTGGCATACAGATGACACATCCCCGTACTCAGCGTCCTGGGTTACAGTGCTTCTGCACCCCGAAGATCCAACCGGGCTGTCTATGACTTCGCTCCGTGCCCTGGCTACCACGTACTTTGGAAAGGTCCATAGTCATCCAGACCTAGTGCGGAAGGGGGCAGGGCTTTATTCACAGGCGCTGCAAAGCCTGCGCGTGCAGTTGCAATGTCCAGATCGAGTCCTGGAATCTGACCTTCTTGTCGCCGTAATCTGCCTTGCAACTCTCGAATCGGTTGCGCTCACTCAATCCTCAGCTTGGCTCCAGCATTATCAGGGGCTGGCAAGAATTGTAAGTGTTTCTTGCCTATCAGCTTGAGGTTGCTAAGTCGTTATACAGACACAATTAAGGAGGCCGCATCGCCATCAGTCTGGTGTCGGAGCTGCCCTTCTTCCTACGCTCAGGTCGTGTATTGTAAGGGACCATTAGCCTGTGCTCGCGGGACCACGCACTTACATTTTCAATAGGCAATTGGGTACGTCGTTGAGAGAAAACGCTGTTTCCTTGAAGACCCTGCATGGAAGAGCATCCCGTGGGCTGGAAGACTGGACTCCAAGACGCGAATCGACTACCTCCACGATGTGTTTTGCGACATTCCGGGTCTACTGGAAGACTTAGACCGAGTAATCGCATGGGACCCGGATATACCAGGACGGGATGACTTCCTTTTCCAAGTGCGCCAGAGTGCACTATCAACACTGGAAATACTTTACTCCTGGCGATGTAAATGGCAAGAGGATAACCCCAACACAGCGTTCTTCATTTCGTCAAGCAATTCAGGGTCTGATGGCCTGCCTCCCAGCCCGTTCCAGACAGTCATTTGGTTCACGGACCCCTACCGCGCCAACGAGCTGATTGTGTATGATTCTGTGCTGCTTATCGTCCTAAAGGCAGCGGAAGGACTCGGGCTGAATCTGGGCGAGTCCCGTCCTTGTATGACAAATTCGGGCGACCTCCTCCTGCCGATACAAAGTAACAGAAAGGAGATTGCTGTCGAGGTGTGTCGGACGGTGGATTACCATCTCCACTGCCTGCAGAGGAGCTCTGGGGCGTTCATGCTCTTATTCCCTCTGAGTATTGCCTATCGCAATCTAGAGCCCGACTCGGACGAAGCCAAATGGATGGAGAAGGTCATGGCGGTGACTGCTGACATCCATGGATTCGAGATCGGTCGGCGTGAGAACATGCCCCAGCCGAGAAATGTGTCTGACTGAACCATTTTCCCTTTTGGGCTGAATGCAAGCCCTGTGGATCAGGTGATCAGGCCCCCATCAGCCACGGAACCAGCTCGCACAATCAGCCTAATGCAGTTTAGTGTATCCGAGGCGCAAAGCTTGGTGCCTGTGTCTGCAACATCATTGGTCAGTTTGTTTCCCTCGTTCATACGGAGTACTGTCCGGCTAATTAGGCCTCCCATTGCCATCAGCTTCAAGGAATGTCATCCCTGATGATCTTTGAGAGCTCGCAGAATCTCCCTCATCGGAGTGAAGGCTGCTACTCAGCCTCCCGTGCTGCATGGTTGAATTAAAATACGGTAGCCTGGCCTGTCAGGCGATTGTCAAGCAATATAAAAGGGCGCGCTGTCGTCTGTCAAATCTCAAATCTCATTCCAGCAATTACATGTCCCATCTCAATACACCTCTTGCAGACACCTCACTTAACCAATTACATCAAGCTCTTAAGGCTATACAATGCATTGGCCGTCCCTCTTAGTTGCCAGTGCGGCATTCGTTGTTCCATGCCTGGCACTGCCGACCACATCCAGCCAAGGAAACTCACCTCAATCCGCTGAAGACGCTGTACCTGGAGAGTCATACTTGTTCACAACCTATACAGGCAAGAAGACACCACTCGCAGCCAACTACACCCGAGTCATTCCACCCACAGACCCCGACGGATCCCCCGACCCCGACGATGTACTATGGCAGAATCTCGCCAGCGCAGAATGGATCATCTACTCCTTCTACCAACAAGCCGTCGAGGCCTTCTCACCCTCGGACTTTACAGCCCTGGGCCTCCCAAACACAACTTACCAGCGGATCGCCGAAATCCGAGACAACGAAGCAGGCCACCTCCGCATCTTCCAGGACCAAATCTCCAATCACTCGCTCAAACCAGGACCCTGCAAGTACGAATTCGGCTTCAACAAATCAACCCCCGAGATATTCCTCGCCCTGCAAGTCTACATCGAAGTCTCAAGCATGGCCTTCCTCACCGGCCTCTCCCGCCAAGCCAACCTTAACGTCTCCAAATCCGCCCTGATGGCAGTCGGCCAAGTCGAAACCCGCCACAACGTCTGGTCCCTCATCGACGTCTACAACACGAGTCCTTTCTCCGGCCCCGCAGACACCGTCTACCCCTACGCGAACCAGATCCTCGACACGACAAACAACTTCGTCGTCCCCGGTTCCTGCCCCAAGGCGAACCCCGTCTATCCCAATCCCCGCCAGGGTCTCCCTTTGCTGGCGTTCAGCAAGAACGGGACCACCGCGCGGCTGGGTTCGAAGATCCATTTTCTGTTCGAGGACCCGGATAATCAGCCACAGTTCGAGGACGAGACAGAGTACTACGCGGTGTTCTATCATGGAATTAACACCGTCAGCGTACCGTTTGATCGGAAGACTAATAGCTCGACCATCCCGGCGCGGTTTGATCCCGAATCGAGTATTATCATGGTGAATATTGCGGATCGGCGGGATGCGCCTACGGAGGAGAGTGTCGTTGCGGGACCGTTGATTATCCTGGAGCAGCCGGGGAGTTTGACGTTGGAGGAGCCGACTGCTGTGTAGGTTGTCGTGGGGGGGTTATATGTTGAGTTGAAATGCTCGGACTGTTAGCAGTTACTTCTATAGGAATACTCTCTCAAATCTAGATTGGTACTTTTTTACACTGTTATTATGACACACAAGTAACCAAGCCTATAGCACTAAGAGCTTATCTACCATTACGATTTATCTTAACTCGGAGGAAGAGTAGTAGAAAAGGCCTCTGCCTGCAGAAAGCCCCAGATATGGTTATAGACTTCGTTACCTAACAACTGACAAAAGCTATATTTGCACAAACTATGAGGAACTACAACTGTCCCTTGGGAGAGGTATAATCCATCCTCAATCCGAATTCACATCCAATCCTTCCTTCCAAACATATTTAAGTGTACTTAACCTCGGCAATAGTCAGTCCTGGTACGTATCTTCTCACACACAATCCAACCAGCTGTATGCTAACTAAGGTTTTACCATTTGTGGCGAAGCATGCGATGTATACCGCAAGTAATTGGTTTGCTACTCCTCTGGATCCATTAGAGATTAGCTAGACTAGTCACCCTGTTTGGTAGTCTGAATCTAATGTAGGGGGTGCTAATTTGAATATCCAAATGCATTTCCAAATATAACAGTGCTTTTCTCTGAAAACCAGACCAAGAGGGTCTGAACCAAGGAAAGGGAGTTCTCTTGAAAGCAACATCAAACATGCTCTCTAAGGACATTTACTCCAGCTGTATGCACCGCGTTATAGGAAGTACTTCAAATGATTCGGCTGCAAGTATATTTCTTCATGCCTCACTTGATAATTGAACAGGAAATATATAAAATTCAAAACTATCCAAGGGACTAGAAAGAGTATTAAGTTTCAGGGTAAGTGCAATGATTTAGCTGCCTCTAGGCAAGCCACGTCAATATAAGGGTAACAAGATCACGCAGATACTTTTCTTGTATCATGCATGGAGGGAAAGAAGAACCATCTCTACTTATGTTCGCAAGCCAAGACCTCCAGTCGAGACTTCTTCTACCATGGAATGATGTGTTCTCGCCAGCATCTATATCAGCCTAACAAAGTGAAGAAACTAAAAACATCACCAGATGGCCAGTAACTTTCTTAGACTGTCTCTACATTTACCTCAGTGATCTCGTCCGTCTTTGACCTTGGCTGCCCGTGGAATTCCTCTTTTCCCCTCCTCCAGGACCGTGGATATTCACGCTTGCCTGCAGCTCTGCACCCTTGGGCTGGTAATTGCGGGATTCGGCATCGGCATCTCAATGGCCACTAGCCTGCACCTCGAGCATCCCGATAGCTACAATCGAAAATCAGGAAAGACAACATACACATAAGACGAATCACATCAAATGAAGAGAAGTAGAAAGACCTATGTGTTAATGAAGCTTGATTCCATGCACTTTTTTGGGGAGACCAGCAGCGCAGCCCTGAATTTAAGCTTCTAATTTTAGTAGGCGGTGGGCATAAGCAACCCACCAATAAAAGCAAAGGGAGGAAACCAACATCTGCATTAAGCTGTGAATCTCCAAGATATGCCTGTATTGACTATTAATACTGGGAAATCAAGTAGTCTACTACTCTAAGGTGATAATACATCTATCAAGATGTGCATATACTACTCCCCCCAAAGCTGCCTCAGAGTCAGACCCCAGTAGTTGGTCGCCTCCTGCCAGACTGCCTCCCCTCCCTCCATGTGTCGAACCATTTCCACCATCTCCTCATCCACATTCAAAGTGCTCGCTAAATAATGTAATGCCGTGTTCCTATCAACATCTTAGGCATGGACATTAGCACCACCCAATTCCAGTAAGATCTAGATTATGGCCTTTTAGGCCTCTTACTGGGCTATGGTCATTAGCTGTGGCTGCCGTGCACCTATCTTACTAGGAAACAAAAATTACATGTGGACTAGACTGGGAAGTTGAAAGGGAGACTAGTGGGGGTTAAGAGTATAGGCATAATAGATGCTTCTAGTGACATCTAGATTACTAGCAATGGTTTAGCTGTTTATTAAAGGTAAGGAAGCTACATAGAGCAGTATATATCTGAGTACTGTTTCCCTAGCTGCTACAAATCCACTAGGGATGAACCTCACCAGCTATAAGAGGAGATCTGGATCATGACAGGCCGTGGCAAAGTGGAGTAGATGGATATTAAAGATGGGGGTGCATAGATTGGCATCTAGCTATAGATAGGAGAGTAGGTTAACCAGGCATCTCTGGACGCTGGTATTATTAAGATTGCACTGGGCTATGGCATAGGAAAGTAGTGGGAGAGTAATAGTTAGGGCTGTGTGAGGATAGTAGTTAGGGGAATAACCATAGGTAGAGAGTAGATGACGGAGCATGGACTGCTGGCTAGCAGTAATAGCTTCATAGATGGGAGAGGATGTCACCAGAATAGAGATGGGAGTATTCTCTCCTTAAATCTTGAATTGATTGACATTGCTATCATCATTATCTGTTGTTGCTGGCTGTAGTTACGCAGACTCCTCCACTCCTGCCGCCTGCAGGAGATCGAGAATTTCTAAATTTCCAGTCTTTGCTATAAGTTCCAGCGCTGTCAAAGCCCTGTCCGAAGGCCTGCCCATCGGCAGGCCTTGTTTGGGAATGTTGGGCTCCGTCCAGAAATGAGGAAAGCCATGGCGACGCTTGTCCAACTCCGCCTCAGTTAATGGGCCAATCTAGTCAGAGATGCCATTTCTACTTTGTGCATTGGCTAGAACACAAGCATGATGATTGAATCCTCCACCAGTGGTGTATCCGTCATGATGGAAGTGACGGCCACGGACAAACCAGACTGAATAGTCTGCCATATCCCTGGCCTTGATGCTGTTCGGATCTGCGCCCGCTGCTAGGAGAAGGCGGACATTATCTGGTAAATTAGCGCCGATGGCGGCGTTTATGGGAGACTGGATTCTGCCATACATGTTCACGGTTGTGTTGGGTGATAAACTATCTATCTGTCTCCATTCTATTAGGGGCAGGTTCTCTTTGTTGCTGGATGCTGCGTAACAAGCCAAAATAGCTTCAAGGATGGCCGGGTTGGGTTTGGCTGCAGCGCGGATGACAGGAGTATCATCTTCATGAGTGTCGTCGAGGTCCTCTGCCGTGAGCTGGTACATTATGCAATGAGGACATGAGATGGGAGAGAAAGACGGAGAAGAAGAAGACTACACTTAGCGTTAAAATATTATACCACTACAACTATGGACATGTAACCCTAGACTAAGAAGTACATCGTCCGGACACCTTTTTAGTCTAGTGGTAATGGATTTTCAATACTTGGTAATCAGGGCGCGTACATCCCGTTAAAGATAAGGGATTGGGACATTCGAGGGCAAAATATCATAAAACTGTAATGGCAAGGCGAGATCCTGAGTGGATATAGATACTATGTGAATGGGTTGCAATGTAGGGCTGATTGAGATGATCAGTGTAAGGTGTTAATGCCGCATTGAGGCGATGAATTGTACCCCTGGTTTCATACTGAGGATATATTATGGTTTGGGTCTGGGGTCTGTAATATACAGATTCTACTTTATAGAAGGAAATGATGCTGGAATAGCATAGAGTACTGATGAGTGAGAGCACTAATGTAATACCTATGAGTAGGATCTGTGGTCCAGGTTGTGCTGTTATGATTTGACCATCTAGTTATAATACTTACAGGACATTCTATGGTCTCTTTAGCATATGATCTGAATCCATCAATGATTTTACAAAGTGCAATGTTAGGGTGAAGGCGCTCTATCTTCTTCTTCTAGCCTAACCCCTCCTTGTATAGGACTTGAGCATAGGGATGATGATCATGTAAGGCATAAGTTTTTAAGTTCCATCTAGTGAGAATAGTTTCGGTCTATCTCCGAGAGTTCTACCCTTGAGATCCCGCTGCCAAACTATCCAGATGCTAGTAAACTTTGCCTCTAAACTCCAGGTCCTTCGGCACAAGTTGACTGGTGGAATCCCCGGTACAGATTGATGTAGGGCCAAATCGGCATTGTCGAAACATGGGCCGTTTCAAGTTGACTCGGAGACATCATTAGCTCATATCCACATGCTCTGAAGATATGAAGCACAACCCCTGTAGTTGACATTATATGAGAGTATCCAATAGGCATGGGTGTTAGTCACAGCACTTGGTCTCCCAAGCTGGATTAAGATTAGTAAACTAGAATCCATCTCGCTCCAGTCAATTTATCGCAGTCTATCTACTCCAGAGCTAATTAATTACAGACATACTAACAATCCACCCAATGGCTCGGCCTGGGTTACTTTCTCATTCAAAACTGCTCTCGTTTGCGTTCGTTCTATAGCTGTGTCCTGTTCTTTACTGCTCTCATTTATTTCACAATGCTAGTTACTCTGCCTTTCCTTATTCCCTTGCTTCCTCTTGCCTCAAGCTTCGTCCATCCTGGTCTTCTTGTCTCTGACAGCGATATCACTCGCGCCCAGCAAAAGATCAAATCTAACGAGGACCCATGGACCGCCTCCTGGAACGTCCTGACCAGTCTCCCTTTTTCTGACCCAAGCTACGTCGCTTCCCCTGTCAGCGTTGTCTATCGGAGTGCCTGGGACGACAACGCGGAGAACGCAGAGAACCTGTGGCACGACGTCGCAGCTGCATTCAATCTTGCCTTGCGCTGGAAGATCTCCTCTAACACCAGCTTCGCCGATGCAGCAAGCAACATACTCGATGCATGGGCGACCACCCTAACCGCGCTCGGCGGCGGCGATGACAAGTACCTCACGGCTGGACTGCAGGGGTACGAGCTCGCCAACGCAGCCGAGCTTCTCCGTGACTACGAACCTTTTGCAACAAATGTCCTTCCTTCCGTAATCAATATGGCCAATACGATCTTCATTCCAATGCACTACAAGTGGCTGCACCATGAGGAGCCATCGGAGCATAATATCCTCCACTTCTTTGCGAACTGGGAGCTGTGCAATATCGCTTCGGCTATGGCCATGGGGGTTTTAACGGAGAACCAGACGGTATGGGACTTTGCAGTGAATTATTTCAAGGAAGGGGACGGGAACGGCGCAATCAACAATGCTATCACTGATATTGTCCGAGAGCCCGGGACAGGTACGCCTCTTGGCCAGGGCCAGGAGTCCGGTCGGGACCAGGGCCATTCAGCATTGGATATTCAATTACTTGCGGCGATTGGACAGCAGGCTTGGAACCAAGGGGAGGATTTATTTGGTTTCAATGATAGCCGTATTCTGAGAGGGTCAGCAGAACAGTCCCGTGTCCCGTCGACTTCCCAAACTGATGTATCCTATAGAGCAGAGTACTGGGCCCGGTATAATCTGGGACACGACGTCCCCTTCGTTCCTTACACCAACGGCATCGTCAGCTATACGGAGATCAGCAATGCGTCTCGCGGTGCGATGCGACCCACCTGGGAGCTGCTCTATAGCCATTACGTGATGATCAAAGGAGTGGATGCACCCTGGACGACCTTGTTCCTCAACGAGTCTCTCAACTATTATGGGGGTGCAGAGGGCGGTGCAGGCTCCTGGGGCGAGGGATCGGGTCATTATGATGGACTCGGCTGGGGATCATTGCTATATCACCTGGATGAGTCGGACGTAGCGGCTCCGAGTTCTTCAAGCGCAAGCACTATACCAACTGCTTCTCCATCGACTGCGCCTTCCGGCACAACGACAACTGGTTCTCATCCTACCGCAATATCCTCTGGCGCAAAATCAACCACAGAATCAGCCACATCTACGACTGTCGCTGGAAGCACTACCACCTCTGTGCCTCAGTCCTCTGTTCCTTCCACCTCTTCTCTCGACGCAGGGACTACTGAAGACCCCCAGCCGACCTTGCATCCCACCGAAGACGGCCCCCGGGAGCTCGCCCACCAGCCACACTATTATCACCACATCTATGAACACACACGTGGGGGATGTCGTGCGCATTACAATTAGTTCCTAGGATTAGAAGGCTTATCTTGTAAAACAACTAACCCTAAGAGCATGAGTCCAAATCAATAGCTGTTCCTTTCACACAAGAACCAGGCTCACGGTGAACTGTGCTGAAATGAGGGCAAACACCCTGAATACGTGGAGCCATTTGTACATTGCGGCAGGTACTGAACAATCTACCCTAACTTCAGGCCATACTTCCGAAGCAAACACATTAACCAGTAGCTATTGGCTTGCTCCAGCGCCATCAGTCAGTAAGACGGTCCTCTTCGCCCTCTTCACCCTCTTCCGACTCATCCTCGGATTCAAGACTGGCAAAGGCTGCCGCAATGTTGATTTGCTTCTGCGCGAGGACTCGTTCTCCCTGCCCATTATCCCAGCGGGCCTCGTATTTGATATTGTACCCATCGACAATCATGACAAGATCATACTCTACGCGGTAATGACGTCTACCATGCAAATTATCCGGCTTGATGGGCCGGATGTAGCCCTCGGTACGCAAGAACGTCATATCAAGCTTGATCGTGCCCGCCAGCTTAGCCCCTGATAACGAGACCCAGAAATCAGAAATGGGGCGTTTCTCGCATGTTAAAACGGGGAGGAAAGAGGGGCAATAGGCAGGGAATGTGTGAAGGCCACTTCTTACCTGTATTGTTTCTGTGGCCTCGTTTGTAATGGCTCTCGTGACGCTTGTCCGAAACATACAGATGCTGGTTGCACTTAAACCTCTGCTTTGAGTTCGCTGGGAATGTGAACATGGTTCGAAACCTGTATTCATCAAACGGAGGAACTTCGTCTCCCTATAGGCATGAATCGTGTTAATCAACGATAGTTTTAGCCGGCTTCCCGGTGCCATACCTTCTTCAGAAACCAATGTATGGTATTCTTCACGTATAAGTCTCCGTCATTTGGGTCCGCCTGCTTAGGCCTGCTTGAGCGATGAGCCTCAATAGCATCAGGATCCCAGGGCTCGGTGCGCAGGTAACCGTAGCTCGATTGGATAATCCTAACGGGTCCCAGTTCTCGATTGAGAGCCCGGAGAACTGCACCGCACGCAACGGCAGTTTCGCTGTCGCATTCATGACAATTAGTCTCTAGTTGGCCGGGAGTCTCTAGATGAACTCACGGGATGTCAGGGCGCAGGACTCCGATGTCGATTGACCGCTTGGCCAAGGTTGCCTCGATATAGCGATGGAGAGAAGGTGACGCAGCAAAACCTCCAATGAGTAAGATTTTCTGGTACGGTTGGTAAATGGCTGAGAATCTGACTTGAAGACAATTCCAGAGCATGCACGCGCGTACCTTCACGATGATTCCACTTCTGCGGGCGGACTCGAGCTGTTTAAGCATGAGTTTGGAGACTCCCTCCAAACAAGGGCGGAAAATAGTAATAAAATCATTTCTGGAGTAGAGGCCGTTAGAGATCAAGCATCAGAGTCCAAGATTACTTACTTATCCAGTCTCATTCGGTTGTCTGTGAACTTTTTTGCTTGATTTTCCTTGAGTCCCTGTATAAAGAACGGGTGACCCGTGAAATTGCGATCCATGATGTCGCAATTTCTTTTTACTCGGGTTTCGAATTCACAAACTTTGGATGCAATGATTCCCTCAATGGTTATCTTTTTGCCTGTCCCAGCTGTGGGAGAAGCGAGGTAGGTTTCATCCCTTAATCTGTCACGCAAAATCTCCTCAAATCGTTCATTCAAATAACTAGAGCCGCATAGAGCACCTATGGTGACGTAGAATCTTTAGCGGCCTGGTTCATCACTGTAAGTCTTACGACGCACCTTCTGGTTTCACAGCTTCCTTTTCCATCTGCAGGGGTTCAGTGTTTCTCAACTTATATATGACGGCGTCGACAGTCCCACCCCCGGCATCGAGAATCATGAAAGTATCCCCGGCCTATTGTGCTTTTGCATTTTGCCCCATCAGGGCGAATGAGGTTAGACAATCAGGGTGGATGTTCACATTATAACGGGGGTATGCTACCTTAATCTCTCGAGTGGATGCCAAAACACAGGCCGCTGCTGCCTCCGGTTCGGAAACGATGTAGAGATTCTCCACACTGTTCGATATGGTTCGACCGAAGAGCGATCGATGGCTGGCTTCAGCTAATGCATCTTGCATCTTTCTCACTGCCCGTCTTCGCCAGACTACTGGAACACAGAGCACCCACTCAACCGAGTCGTTGTCGTTGAAGCCGTGTGATCTAATGAGTTGAGCTTTAGTATGCGCGAGCAAGTGCCTCAAGAAGTCAACGATTAAATCCATGCCGTTTGTGATGATCCCTAATGCCTCCAGTTCTTTTGCAGTAACCTGCAGTTGTTCCCGGAGCTCCCTAGTGCAATCGGTCTTGTCCAACAGCAACTTGGAACGGGTGACTCTCTGAAAGTTCCTACGATCTGCATCCGGTAATCTGAAATGCTCATGTACAGAGAACCCCCACCGGAAGATCTGATCCGTGTCGGTCGGGGCGGTGGTTACGGCAGCGTCAACATCCATCATCTCACCAAACCTCGCTTGAGCCGGCTCATTGCGTAGGAGAAGGTCCCTGGTTCCAAGAGGATAGCACGTCTCAGTGGGCACTTCCATAATCAACCCTCGCACACTCTCAGCAACGTCGTCGTAGTTCGCAATGCATGAAACCTGGTGGATATCTACAAGTGTTCTCTCCTCGCCCGGTCTCAGGACGGTGTACGCCACTGCGGAGAACGTTGTCCCAAAGTCCACCGCGACTATGAACTGTCTGGGTGGTTGTCCCTCATCCCCATCAGCTGTACCGTTTATCGCTGGCAATCCAGGACTGGTCGATGATTGATTGATTTCAGAGTCAAGGATGTCGTCCAAAAGATCGCTCGAGAACGCTCTGACGAACGTGGGACGCATGGTTGTGGAAGAGGGAGTCTTGATATTCGTCTTCCTGATCAGTGCTAGGTGCAAGGAGGTGCTTGATTTGTCGAGAGCCAGAGAGAAATTCTTTTGGCACAGGGAACCATACCTCTGACCCTGTACAGGCGATGTCTCTGCAGAGCTGAGTGAGCGCAAGTAGCTAGATTCGGTCAGAATCTCTCAAGCAACAAGACTGGGTGAACTGCACAGAAAAGAAAAATTTTCTTCCTGCCCGTCGATAGGCTATCGGGCTTCTCCTAGCAGGGATTACGAAGCAGAAGGCTCCCAGAACGAAGCGCAGCTGAACTATGGTGCCTAGACAGAAGTACGTCGCTTGAACTCCTCCTTTCGACATGGACTGGCGCGAACATTGCCGTTCTGATTGGAGGTAGTAGCAGCGCTAGACTTGACTACTCCTGCAAAGCCTCTCGCCAGTTACGCAGGAAGTGAGCCTCGTGCCGGTTTGGCCCCTGGCGCATGTATCAGACGCTTGAGTCAGCAATCGAGACTGGGCCGATTGGGCGGAACGTAAATTGCGGCGCAGCAAGGCTGCATACGGCTGCTTCTCCGCCTTGCAATTGCAAATTTCCTCCGTCTGACAAAAGCCAGTGTCTTTTACTTGTACACATATTCATCTGTTTCGCCCGAGCAGACTAATTGATCTGGTATGGCGCGATCTAAACGAGTTCCTCATGCGGAGCCGGCGAACTGGAAACCTCACGAGGAGAACGAGCTTTTGGCGTGGCTCGACTACAACCTGCAGAAGAGTTCGGATGGCTTTGAAGCCTTCAGGCAATCAGTTTCCGCGCACCTCCGTAGGGAGTGCAATGTCAGCTACACCTATGAGCAGTGTCGGAGGAAATTGTATTTGTCCTGGTTACGCTACGGAGACGAGAGCGCTAAAAAGGTCGCCGTATTGCACGAGCATGGATCCGAGACTCTGACTCACCTGCCGACGGAGCAAAAGGACTTCATCTTGGCCAGGGCGATGGAGCTCAGGGAAAGAGACCTGAACTTTCCGCGACGTCTGAGGAGTGTATCTCGAAACAGTGCAACGCCATCGCAACATCATGGGGATAACCGGCGGCCGACATCTACGAGAGGGCAATTGCCACATCTACGAGTTCCTTCGGTTGTGATTTCAACGGCTCGAATTTCTAAAGCTAAGCGGCCCCTGAGCCAGCATAGCAAGAGAGGTCGTCTTTCTAATAAGGTATTGATCCGGCATGTCCGGCGGAGATCAAGAGCTAATTTTATTGAACTGCGCAAAGTTTCCAGTCAGCGACTTGAGCCGGGAAGGAGAAGAAGATGGCGAGGCCAAAAGCAACAAAGAAAAGGATCCTGTCCATACGGGTACAACAGATAAAACGGATAAAACGCCCGACGCGGATGATATTACCATGGCTGGCGTACCTAGCGCAAAGAATGGGAGTGATCAAACAACAGCAACAAATCCTTGGACCGCAGGGGCATTGGAAACTCTTAAGTCCGAGCTTGCGGCGCTTAAAGAGCAGGTGCGAGTACTGGGTGAGCTGCAAAACGAAACTCGATCTTTTATGGTCTTCTTGCATATGCGTTTGGGCGAAGCTGTCGAACGCGACGAAGTGGCTAAAGCCCGTATACACAGCCTGGAGCGGGCAGAGAGGGCGCGAGCCGATGGTAAATCACTCGTCTTGGAGGTGGCGAATCTGGAGGACAGAATCGCATACCTGCAGAGGAAAGTCGACAAAGCCAGAGAGTTGGGGAAGTTTACTCAGCTCTCATCAACAGGCGTGATACGACCTTGGAGCCTAAGATGGGTTGACAAGACAATGGACGATATCGATTTCTACATGGAGCAGCTACTCTTAGATCACGATAACATTGACCACTTTGAGCCCCCGAACTTAGACGACGGCGCGGACCTGGCCGCCCTTGTTCGAACAATATTGGGCCTGACCCCCCAGGAGCGGCTTTCCACAGAGAAAGTGCGAATTCAGCTGTCCAAATTGAGCTTGCAGTCAGTCGTGCGTGCTTTGACTGCGGCCACTCTCTGCGAATGGGTCTTTGAGGCTGAGCTGCCCGGTATGAGTCTGACTGACTCAGTGCTACTAGATGAATACAGGGGCCATCTCAGAACAAGAGGTGCACTATCTTTCATTCTTCTTCCTATCTTCCTTCTATCCTTGCTTACTTCTACGGTTCTGTCCTGTATCCCCTTCTGCAACAGATTCCTTTCCTTTTTTGGTAGTAAATAGTGCTAACAAGCCGCCAGATGGAGCGGTTGCCCTTCAGAACCTGGATTTTGCCGCGCACCAGTCACTTTTTGAAGGAACCCTGTTCCAAGACAACATACTTCCTCGACAAGCCGAGTCACTCGCCTGTCGGCTGTCCAAGGTCCTTTCCCGGATCTTCCGCAACGACGACAGCATAGTGGTACATTCCGCAGGATCGTACGGAGTTCCTTCAGTTCATCGTTTCTACACTTGGGGTGTAGATGAGCGCATCTGGATGAGCACCAGAGATAAAATGATCAAAATATTTGCACTTGCTCTCGAAATCAAGTATAAATTCATGTTGAGCACGTACCAATTCGAGGCGGTGCTTTACCCCCCTCGGACACCCTTCCGAGCAGAGCAGATGAAGCCCGAGACGGTGCAGGGCAGCGAGATGACAACAAATGCCTCTACGATGCATGGCATAGAGGTTAAGCTCTGCCTACTACCATCTCTGTATTTTTGGAGGTCTGATTGTATGCGAGTGAACTGCAAGACGTTCGTGCAACGTCTCCCTTCCGATCGACAAGAATGTGAACGGCTTACCCAAGCGGTTGTTGTTGCGGGGCAATCATGAACATTTGTATATATATAAATTGCTTATACTCTGTAATTGAGCCTATCTTTGCGCGTCATGCAGATTCCTGACAGAAGGCGATGGGAGATTGTTGCCCGAAATATCCCTCCGCCTCCAGAATTGCCTTAGTCAATGAAACACGGTGAATCGTCCGGTAGTCGGCCTGAAAGTATCTCTATCCATCGCAGAATACCAATTTGATCACGCTCCGATAATGGGTGCGCCCCCTTCCCCTTTTCTGGTTCCGTAATGTAAATATTCTGAACCTCGCAGACCCGTGATAACTTGCGACCTAGTTCGACTGGATCCGTGAAGGATGTGCCATCGACCACCATGAGGCAGAAATCCGGAGACTCTGAGGTCCAAAAGAGAGGCTTTTTGATCAGAATAGCACCTGTGCGGTCCATATTTTTAGTTAAGCCATAAAGGGATCCGAATTCATCGGGTACGCTGGAACTGCCTGAAATGGCCTCAAGTTTCACCGAGGTTGGGTTGCACGCTTGCTTGTACGCGAGTTTCTTTTCAAAATCGAAGAGCGGATTCTGTTCAGCCACCTTGCGCAAGGCCCAAGACGAATGGGTCTCCCCGGAATCCGATGCGTCTGTAACCAAACAAAGATACGCCGCCGAAAGAGCAGCGGCCACCGAATAGCCCCCCGACAAGCGGCGGAGGGAATGCACTCCTTCTGTCTCAACGCTAATGTCCGGAAAATTGGCCCCGCGTGGCGCGACGAGGTGCCTCCCGGTGGTCACAAGCATCAGTGCTCGGAGGGCTAATCGAGATGCCACAATGCAATGAATCTCTCTGACCACTTGCCAGTCCTCGCTGATATAGGTGTTGAATAGAACCCGAGCACGGACAGGATGATCTGCAAGAGCGTTTAGGCTGTATGGCCGGTCAGTCCACATAGCCTCCAGTTGGTAGATGGCATTCATGGTCACTGTGACGCTTTGGTCATCTTCCATCAACTGCAACAGCAAGGAACAAGTGTCGTGTACACCCAAGTTCGGCTCGCCCAATGATCCTAGCACTCTTCGAACCTGGGACGTATCTTCCGGGATAGATAAGATGTGGAAAGAGAAACGAATCATATCTGAATGACGAATAGTGGCAAATTGTCCCCAAGGAGGCAGATGAACACTGCTGTGTGAGTATCGTAAGTACGGATGAGGTGGCTCATTGAATGTGATATCTGAACGGTCCTCGGATTCTTCTGATCGAAGACGGACAGAGGCGGTGACCTGCGAATCCCTCGAGACTGGGTCTAGAGAAAGACTATGGGTCCGTCTGGTGATAGACTGGAGACTTCTTAGCGTCACAGTATCGGAACTTGGGTCAGCGTTAGGCGGGCACTCGGGGTAAATAGACGCAGGTGTCTCGTCCCGCCAAACGTCATCGCGGCCACTGAGACAGCGGAGGACGTTTGGCCGAAAGATATCTCGTGCCCAGTCACAAATGTGATCAACAATAAGCAACATCTGCAGGGCATCATCAAGTGAAAGCATGCATCCGTGCCATAAATCGATGATTCTCTACAGGACCATCTAAATCAGCATAAGAACCATAGTCCGTGAAATGTCAGCACCCACGTATCGTGTTCCGTCAACGACGCACGCATAAACCCGCCATTCATCTCCTTGGTTTGCCATGAACCATACTAACGGGCTGATGAAAATTTGATTCACTTGTTGTAAGTCTTGCTGGAGCTTCAGCAATGTTCTTAGAGGGAATGCGCTCTGTCGTTCGACCGACTCAAAGCCGGGGCTGCCTTTCTCCGATTTCGCTTCAATTAGAAGGAAGGGATATGACGCATGGCCGTCTATGAAGGGGCTGTGCTTCAACGACTGAGATTTGGGTAGCAGTTGTTTCAGGCTGGCGGTATGCTCCAGGCCAATGATAAGATCTGGAATTCGCTGGGGAATGCCCTGTTCAAGGAGTCGGCGATCCTCGCAGTGATATTGTAAGGGCGTGTCCGAGCGATGTGCAAACAAAGAACTAGAGCCTGGATCATGACTGCCTGGTTGTTAGTGTCGACATGATTGTCCCCTCTCCTATTAGATCAACAGGATCCCGGCCAGTACATACATATCCACTAACATCCTTTCCTCGTTGCTGCAACTGCATGGCAACCTTTTCGCGCGTCTTTCTCGTAAATCTTCGGCCGCTACGGCCCACTCGGTTTGCTCTGCCTGAAAATCCGCCTCCCAGAACCGCTTGCGGCATTTGCGACTGGGCAATCCACCCTTAGCCATGCCTCGTACGAGCAACAGATAAGCTGTGGACAGTTCTTGGGTTCGCTCACCATATAACCTCAGCCTTAAATCTGGAGGTGACAATATTCTCGGTCGACAACCTCCACGTGCCTTCATTGACCCTCTGCCTACGACACCGATACGCCTCGCTGCGGAGCTTGGCGGCCTGTTGCTTGATATGCATGATGTCGGACAAGACCGTCAATCGGTGTTCTAATCTGCCGTCTCTCCCATAATCATCGTAGGTCTCTTTCTTGATTTGGCGGACCTTGGCAAAATTTTCTCTGTGGTGTATTGGCCACTCACAAGGAAGTAAGGGACCATCAAATGAGATTCCATATTCATCCATCAGACGCTGCTGATCCTCGGGTCGGAGACCTTTCTTTCCACGAGACGCCATTGTCTATGATCTCAAGTGATGGGTCTTCAGATGATTTCGCCGCTTCGTGGTCTTTGGTCGCTTGTATGCAGCTGGGACGCTCGATGAGCCAATTTATCAGCTGGTCTAATTCGCAGCACACGTGACCCAACACAAGGCTGAGGCGATGCGCCTGCATCAGGCAGAAGAGACATTTCCCAGCCTAAGAAGAAAAGGGATTTTATGCTGCCTATCGTAAGGTGTTAACCCATCAACAGTCGAATAGTATAAGTACTAGTAAATTCTTAATGTGGGTTGAAACTCACCCCCATCACAAGCAGCACTATTTCCCCCAAACTATGTCAGTAGCAAGTGCTGGCCGTCAATATGGCAGACTTTATCCTTGCGGTCGACTTGGAAGTCGGTTATCACCCCAAAAGCCTCAAAAATGCTGATCTCCTCAGTAACGAACGCATTAGAGGAAGCATCTGCTCATTACAATGAGATGTCTTTAGTATAACAAAAGGAGGGCTTGGATGATAGACCTTAGCCTCAATTGACCGTCATAGATTTACTTACACGGCCCTGGCAGATTTAAACAGGAATCTGCTGGCCAAGTTTCCTGAGCTCCTAATCTCTCCCAGGAGAGACCGATGATGTAGCCACAATTGATGAGTTTGCTAAACTCGACCCATCCGTTGCAAGAGCCTCCGCAAAAGCCCGAGAGTGGTAGCTAGTGCTCACACATTTAGTCTGAAAGCCCTGGCTGTGTACTACATCCAAAGGCATAAATTCGTCGGACGCAGGGGTAGTAGCATGAATTCTCCAACGGTCGACATCTGTGGCTCCGTTCCAGCTTACCCAGAAGGTGGTTGCTGACTTTGTGGATGTACTGTATGTCCGAAGGAGAGGAGGGTCGCTTGGCTTTGCGGTCCAGTTAGATTTGTATGCGCGGTAATTCTCTGAATCGGTGTCTGTCAATGTGGCGAAGAATATTGCAGTGCCGTTCTCGGTATGCTCCGAGATTGAAGGTTTGCTGCCCCATCCGATTACGACGTTCTTGTTTGGCAATATTTGAGTGTTTCCCTGGCTTGTCGAAAGAAGACCATCACCCGGGGCGTGGTATTGTCTGATCAAGGTCGAAGAGTTCGTACTGTGGTCGATAGAGATAACCATCCCTGACGACGTCGATGATGTGTTCTGATGTTGGTCGCTTGCATTATCAAAGAGAGAGAGAACCGTCATGGTCTCATTCTCCTCTCGAAATCGAGCGTCGTGTTGAAAGGAGAAATTGAAATTCGTCAGTTGTATAGTAGATTGAGTGCCGCCCAGCCGCCATATGATGGACCCGTCCATGCCGGAAATCTTGTATATGCAGCTGGTATGTCTTGAAGACACAAGGTAGTTACCTTCCGGATTCTTATCGACTGAATTAATGTGAAAGTAATCCCAAGCACTAGCATTACTCAAGCCGTCACCCACCAGTCCGTCCAACCGCAGAGGGGTGTAGGTAGCCGAAAGGGGAACGTGGTCAAGCGAGCTCCACTCAAATAGGACCTCTCCTGTCTTTATATCGACCTCTTGAAAGACGCCGTCGATAACCCAACTACTATTTCCAGGCTCTACGTCATATGCTTCAAGGTTGTAAGGCCGTGGTTGATATATTGTTATGAGTGCCGTCTTTCCATCAAGCACTCTCATTTCGTGTAAATCGCTTGACACCAACCCGTTCCCACTTTGCACGGAGGCTGTGGAATTGTAACTGCTGTCCAAAATCATATGTCGACCCCTTGCATATCCCTCAATCTGCGTCCCTTGATACAAGCAGAGGTGGTCTGATCCATCATAAGGGCAAACATGGAGATCATGGAAAATCCCAGTGGCTGAGCGATTAGCACCGCTCCATACGAGGTTCTAGGCACGTCAGAACTGTTAAGAGACAGGGCAGGGGGGATGCACAAACACCAGAAGTGTCATAGATGTAGGGCCCTGGCATATCTATGCCATAGGGAGTGAGGAATAGGTAGCCTGGGCTAAGAAGACTATCGTCTTTTATGCTGATATTAAGAACTGGGGCGCGGATATCCGGCCGCTTGCCAGGTTGAATGGGAGTCAGCATAGCTTCTGGGCGATCCTAGATGGTAACTTCCACTGACAGACTCGAAGGACGTCCAATTCGCGCAATTTATCACATGAACAAATGTCAAGATACAAACAATCCCCAGCAGTTCTCTTCTAAGGGATACTAGGTTGCTGTTCTGGTTCGGCGCCATGGTGACTTGAGTATAGGAGATCACTGTCCTTGGCCATAAGTATTCTGGCGCGCCTGGACTGATATAATAATGCAAACGACTTTAACTGATTTTAAGAGGCAGTCGAGAGTGTTAATGGGACTGGTCGTATGAGGGTTAGAAAGAACAAATCTTATTACGTCATGACTCTGCTCCTTAAACATAAATTAACATTAGCTAGACCATGTAACATGGAACAGATATAAAACTTTATCTTGACATAATCCCTGGGTTGTAAGTCGTCCATGGCCGTATCTCTGGCACTGCATTGTATTCAATATTAGTGGACTATGACTATGTTTAATAAGTGCAAATCCATTTGCTTACTTTAGTTCTATGCACTTTCCTCTAAATAGATTCCACTATATAAAGGAGATCTCAATTAAATGAATAATCCAGAATATCCCTTCTACCGAGTCATCTACGTCTTCATTGCGCATTGAAGCAAATCTAGAGCCACATTCATAATTACTTGCCCTTGTTTGCGGATACCTCTCCACACTAAATCAGTCATCAAACAACCTGAACCCAAAATCAGTGCATTATTTGTAATTATCCAACTCACTGTTACACCTTGTCTGCAATATGGAGATCATCTGACACATTTAAGGCAACCAACTATGATAAATGGCACCTAGGATATGGTGGTGGGACCAACAGCTACTACTACTGACTATATCGACCAGCAACCAACATGGTTTAAAATTGATTTCTAGCCAACACTTATTCAACCCCTGGATATTGAATCCTTATTTTGGAGACAGGCTGGGAAAATGATAATTACTACATATTCTATATGAAAAGATTGTTTTTGTACGAGCAGGCTAGATAAGTTAGGAGAATTTAAATTCTAAAAACAGTTGAAGTTCAGAGCGGTAATGGTATCCAGGCTACTGCCTCCCTTATCCCTAGATAGGGCGACCGCCTAGAGTTTCAGGCTATCTGCGGGTAACTCGGGCCCCCGGGGCGGGTACAGCTTGTCTGGCGGGTCCTTAGACGTAGTCCCGAGCCCGCTGTGGGTCAGGCCCCGCTAGGCCTGTACCCACCTGAACCCGACCCGATCACAAGTCTAAATTAAGGATAAAGGTCTGCTTTCTAACCTAGCACAGAGAGTAAGGAAATGCTTTTTAAAATAAACTTTTGTTCAATCTTTACAAACCAGTGGGTTGAACCATGAAGCAATCCGGCGATCTGATTAAAGGCTGCTTCAATTGAAGGCCGTCTCCAGACATTGCCCATGTTGTTCTTAGTAGGAACTATCTGGTATTAGGCTAGTAACCATGAAGTATAAATTGATCTCATTGGCTATAGGTTGAACGAATCTTTATGACAAAACAATCCAGATAATTGGCTTGTCATTGAGATTGAGTCTATGAAGACAGTCACTGACAGTCTCGATGTATATATTTAGGATAGAGATGATGTTAATTGTTGGAGCCGATACCATGAGATCACAATGAGACCTAATAGCTTTGTCCACTTTGGGAAGTACCCTGATAGACTAATTCGGACTGAAGTTGCTATGGATGCCACTACTTAATGTGCCTTTGGAGGAGATAGGTTTGACCAACAGGCAGAATTTTGCGGAGTCACGGACGCTGAAACTTTTCCAAAATCATCTGGTACTAAGTAAATATAGGACGGAAGAGGTAGCGCTGTTGTCAGTGGTGTGAAACAACTGCCGCCCTCTACGGCCAATAAGCGTAGACTGGAGCCTTTGGAATTCTGTGGCTGCAATCCAATTATTATTAATCAACGTTCCTCCCTTCTCTCCGCAGCCAGGACGAGGTGTTTCAGTAACAATTTACCATGCCAGCACTTCTTCGGAGTCCCAAAGGATTTCTGATATCCTTGAGACGTCCACTTGACAAATTTGTCCCTCTGCATGGTACTATCATAAGAACTATGGCGTCAGTTCCACGACTTCGTCCGCGCCAATTTCCTGCATCCGGATTCGTGAAATTGGACCCCTCAGAGAAAATAGAGGAGGAGCAACTTCCCTTCTATGTCGCAGAACGATACTACCCTGTTTATATCGGCGAAGTTTTTGCGGGAAGGTATCAGGTGGTCTCTAAGCTCGGGTATGGCACGTCTTCCACAGCCTGGCTATGCCGGGATCTTCAGTGAGTACCCAGCAAGGTCATGAGAGCGTCACATATATCTGATTAGTTGCAGAGACCACGGTTTCTACACACTGAAAATGTGTGTTCAGGGTCAACGGCCTAGTAATGAGATCAGTATTTCTGAGCATTTGACGAAATGCAGTGAACATTTTGGGAAAAAACTAGTTCGTCTAGTCCTTGATTCATTTGAGGTTGTTGGTCCCCATGGGAAGCACACATGTTTGATTTATCAGCCCCTTGGAATGAGTTTCACTGAGTTCCGTGACCTACTCCCTGATAAGAAGTTCCCAAAGGATCTTGTTCAGAGGAGCATTCAACTCATCTTAATCTCACTAGCTTTTATGCATGAAAACAATGTTGTTCACACAGGTAAGTACATAATCAAAACATGTTCAGGAAGTTATGCTCAGTATTCTGAGACATCTCGTCAAATAATATACTCTTTGGGATTGAGGATCCTTTGATTTTCTCACAGATCGAAGAAGATGAGACCAGGAGACCGATTGCGAGAAAAGTTCTGGCTGGTCGTAATATTTACTTCTCCCGACCACTGCCTGTTAGTACAGGCTTGCCTGTGATTTCTGACCTTGGCGAGGCTCGAGTTGGAAGCGGAAGACACAGGGGAGATATTATGCCCGGAATCTACCGGGCACCAGAAGTGATCTTGGATATGGATTGGGACTCCAAGGTTGATATCTGGTCAATCGGTGCCATGGTGAGCAAACTTGCCCTGTCTAACCACTTGCCGTCTCACTACCTGCTGTCTCTTTTTCCCTCTATACTCAATTTAAAGCTGATGAATACCTTAGGCTTGGGATCTAGTCGAAAGCAGCCATCTTTTTTCGCAAAGAAAGATCATCTCCTTGATGATGAACAGCATCTAGCAGAAATGGTGTCACTTATGGGACCTCCTTCTCAGGACTTTCTGAAAAGAAGCGGAAAATGTCGCCAATTTTGGGACCTGCAAGGTACCTATCTTTTCCTCCTGACCCATTCGCCATTCGTCGTTCTGACTTCTTGTTGCAGGTAATTGAAAGGGATCTGTGCCCATACCAGAGCAAACGCTGGCCACGAGAGAGCGGCAATTTTCTGGAGAAGATGGCGTTCTCTTTTTGAGATTCTTGCGAAGGATATTCCGCTGGTTGCCAGATGAGCGGCCGACAGCAGAGGAGCTTGCATATGATGACTTTTTAATGCAGCCAGTGCTAGAATCTAGAGTCCGCCCATAATCATGGATGCTCCAGCCTGCTTTAGTTCTGAGGAAGCTTCTTGGCCACAACTCTCAGTCTGTCAAAAAAAAAAATTTAAATTTCTTAATAATCATGAATTAGAAAGATCTAATTCCACTGATAAGTAGGCCTAATGCTGTAAGCTCTATCTCAACACTTACTCTAGGGAAGGTGGTCATAGAAAGAAGAGTGATAGAAAGTTACTCCTAATGGGCCATTACATCCACCCAGTAGCTGCGCTAGAGCACGATGTTCATGTTCCTGTAATTGCAGACGGGCCGAATGATTATATGCTACAAGGCTTGCCACATGGCATGAATGCTCGAATATGTTAGGTAGATCCCCAGACCACTCAACACCACCCGAGGTCAATTCCTCTTCCTCATCTTGCTGTGCTCCACAGTCACCGCACCGATAATAGAGATGCAGCTCAGAACAACAGCAAGCTGCCATGACTGAGTCAAAGCATGGTTGATCACGACAAGTATCGACCTCTTAGTGTTGCCTGTCAAGCCTTGGGTGAGCGTCATGATACCGCCTGACGAGATAGTGCTTGCATCGACACCAGCCACCCCAATCCCTTTCAGGCCATTGTCTAAACTGTTTGTAAAGAGCGCTTGTGCAACAGCAACAAAGATTGACCTGGAGTATGAGGGGTTAGTTCGACATCAGACAGTATTGGAGCGCGCTCAAACCTACGCGCCAATCGTCTGGGCAAACATGACCATCCCAGAGCCGATGGGGACGTCCTTAAGGGGGAGGGCATGCTGAGCCACCATCAAAGGAGTGAGGCTGGAGAGACAAGAAGACACAACGAAGATTATCTGGTAGCCGATCCATCTCCCGGTATCCGTGTCTATAGTGAACGTGGTAAAGAGGCCCGATCCGACTGCGCCGAAAACAGTTCCCGCTACCATGAACACGTCGGGATAGCCTATTTTGGAGATGAGTACTCCACAGGCGAGCGACGTGATGGTACTAGTGATAACCCATGGAAGCGTCCATACGCCGGACTGGATGGGGCTGGCGCCTTTAACTCCTTGGAACCATCTGTAGATTCATGGCCAGCACTCCACAGATAGAGGTGGGAAGGTAAATGACCACTTGCATGGGAAGGTAGTGAGTGAGCACGAAAATGGCGCTGGTCGTGCAAAAGCCGAAGAATGACGCGGATGAGACAGTCCGCTGGGTAAATACACGGGTTGGGAGCAAAGCGTTGGGGCCCTGCCAGACTTCGATACAGCCAAATGCGATACCCAGGACGCCAAAAAGGACCAGCAACGCGATGACGCGAGCATCTTGCCAGGGGTACTGGAGACCGCCCCATTGCAACGCCAGAAGAAGGCAAACAATCGATGGTAGAAGAGCCGCGAGGCCAAAAAATATCGAGAGTCTGCAAAAAATCAGCCCAGGAGGTGAAGGCCTCGCCGTCACGCTTCGGCGGGTGGACAAGGAGAAGGAAGGCGGCTTGAATGGTGACGCCTATCGGGAGGTTGATGTAAAAGTTCCAGCGCCAGGACACCTTCTCGGTGAGCGCCCCTCCGATCAAGGGGCCAAACGTCGTCGCCAGCCCGCGGGCGGCTGAGATCAGACCGAGGACGACAGGGCGCTTCGTCGGCGGGACAAGGAAGGGAACAAGGGAGAAGGCAGCGACCAAGAGGCCCGCGCATCCCAGACCAGCAATCGAACGTCCAATGATGAGTGCGGGAGAGTTGGGCGCAGAGCCGCAGACGGCAGATCCGACCAGGAAGAAAAACATGGATATGCTGTAGATCCATCGTACAGAGTACCGGGCAATCAGCTTGCCAAAGAGAAGCTGGGTGACACAGATGGCCATGGTGTAAACACTGCTGTACCAGCCGACATCCTTGAGCGAGTGAAACTCATCGGAAATGTACGCGCGGTGGCGATGATCGTGTTGTCCTGGAAAGAAACACAAGCGCTTAGCCAGAGACGTTGCTCGACGCGAGCATGACCTACCATTGTGGTGAGGAATATTCCCAGACACAGGGTCGCAACGGCGAGGTGAAATCGAATTCCTGAGGAATACTGGGCTTCTTCACGTCCAGAAGGATTGCCAGATCGTTCCGGGTCCGCTTCAGGTGAGGCCTTTTGGTTCTCATCTCGTTTGTGCTCGTCAGGGACTTCTTGTCCGGCGGCAGACACGTTGCGAAGGGAAATGTTCTCGGTTGTTTCCAAGTTTAGATTCGATCACAACTTCACTGGATAATTTGACTGATGGGATCTTGGGCCAGAAAAGGGGCATTCAGAACACGTCTCGGGAGAGGAAAAGAAGGACACCCCGGCACAAGCCAGACCGGCTCAGGTCGATATCAAAACACTGGCCCAAAGACGCGTTTCTCGATGACCAGGGTCCAGGGTGCATCCATGACTGGTGCTTATCTAATAAATGTAACAAAGAACAAAGTGAAAGCAAATGCTCTGTCGCATCATGGTAGAACTAACTGAACTACAGAGCTGGAATTCCCATTTCACACTTTTACGACTGGCAGGGGCCGGGTATTTCCATCGTACTATATCACATCTTATTCTTGCCTAGATACTTTAACCAAGAGCTCTAGAACAATTCTAGACAAAACACCAGCAAATTATCCTCAACCCTACCAAAGCACCTGTGGAGTTGGTGCAACATGAAAACGACCATCTTGTTTCCCTTCAACTTCTCTTTTCTGTGATCGAGTGCGTGACTAGCCATTACATCTTCTCGAAAATATCACTTACCACCCCCGTGAAAGGATCCGGTGCCGTAGGAGGAACGTAACTGAGTTCATGGGGTTGCTCTGCTCCTGCCACGACACCCGGGGTGGCCTGGGCGAGTCTTTTATTAGCGGCAATTCTGCTCTCCAAAGCCTTTTTGATCTTGTCCGCGAGCTCGCCATTGATCAGCTTGAAGATTTCTGCTCAGACGTGAGTCAGTGACACTACGCTGGGTCTGTGAATTGCAGTAGGTGGTTACTCACCGATCGATTTATCTTGTGTCACTATCTGGGCCGTGGACAGAGAAGCCGCAACGTTCGGTATGAAGTTTGCCTGTAGTTTCGGAGTCATGCTCTTGTAGTGATCGTAGCATTGCTCGTAGTCGGTAGTATCCACAGTGTTCTTGAATCGTTCGAGCTTCCCCGACCAGCCGAGGAAACTTATATTGTAGTGGTCAGGGGGGTTTTTGTTGTCGTCGCTTCGTATGTAGTTGCGCGCGTTGGCGTAGTTGGTCATGTTGTATGCTCCGTCTCGTCTGGTGGGGCTGAAGACATATGAGCATGGCCGGTTGGTGGGCAGCTGGTCGTTGTTGACGCCGAGACGGTATCTTTGTGTATCTCCATACGCGAATAGGCGGATCTGGAGCACTAGACTCGGAAGTTAGCACTTGTTCTTGGGCAAATGAACAGGGTCCGACATACGAGGATCAGGAGAGATATCCCAGCCGGGGACGACATTTGCCGGGTTGAAGGCGGCCTGTTCTACCTGCGTGAAGAAGTTCTGCGGACATTCAGTCAATGTTATCTTGCCGAATTCTTTCCATGGAAACACAGCCTCTGGGAGGATCTTGGTGGCATCAAAGATGTTCACAGGGCTCATGCTGGGGTCTTTGACTATTTGTGCCTTGACCTTCCAGGCTGGGTACTTGTTCTTCACTGGATCCTTTTGCGCGTTCGTGATCTCGTCGTATAAACGGCGAGTCAGCCAGTCCGGGTCCTTTCCAGCCATGGTGGTCGCAGCACCCAGGTCGAAATAGTCATTGTCGGGATTGATGGGGGGGTCAGGGACTAGTTTGATCCTGACCAGGGTGTGCTGCCAGTCGCTTCCTTTCTAATTATTTTGTCAGTACTGGCGAGTCAATCATGTCACGGAAGATCAGTTGCAGCAACCTTTTTGGTAAACGTATAACAATGCACACTAGACGCCTGCATTCGATAGTACGACTTTGGGGTGCCCTCGTCACTGAAGATCCTCATCAATGCGTTGTACCCCTCCGGATGGTTGTTGAAGTAGCTTCCCAACATTAGCAAGATCACAATCAACACTCAAGAGATTCTCTTACTCCCAGAACTATGTGCTTGCTAGTAACCAAAATATGCCAAAGACTATAGACAGAATGGCTTACCATGTTGGCGTCGGGCAGGTTACTTGCGGGATCCCGCTTTGTCGCATGGACAAGAGAGGGGAACTTGGCAGGGTCCCTGATCAAGAAGATTTCCTTGGATGGCGTATTAGCTAGGCAAACACTTTGGTATCCGACGGGACTCACGGGATTCAGAAACGCCCAATCGAGATTCCCTTCCTCAGTGTAGAGCTTAAAGGCCGCGCCCTTGGTGTCTCGGACAGTGTCCGGGAAGCCTCTCTCCCCGGCAACAGTCGAGAAGCGCGCAAAAAGCCGGGTTTTCTTGCCAGTAGCATTGAGGAACTTGGCATCAGTGTAGTCGCTAACCATGAAGTCTGTGTTGGTGACTTCGAACATGCCAAAGGCGCCTACTCCTTTTGCATGGACGTATCTGTACGAATCAGCTCCTGTATCAGATACCTGTCCAGAGGCGCTGCCAGAACGACAGTAACGTCTCACCTTTCTGGAATCCGCTCACGGGTAACATGAGAGATGGTATCGACAACATTGAGATCTTGGATCAGCTGGGAGGCCATTCGATGCTTGCCCTCCGGCTTGTCGATCCTTTCCGTCAACAGCGGATCCTCCAAGGGACAGCCTAAAGATGGTCAATGCCACTTCGGCAGTTGGTGGCAAGTCAGACACTTACCATTCGACATGGTAAAATAGCCCTTTGAGACGGGCGCGTCAGGAATCTTCCCAGTATTGGGACAGAAATCTGTGAAAGTCTGTAAGCCATTGATTACCAAGTTGGGGCTGAGTGATCGTTACCCTGGGCCGAGGTGGGATTGGGTCTTCCTGGCAAGTCCTTGACATAGATTTAGTAGTGGCCAGCATCTATCTGTGGGAGATTCATACTTTGTGCTCCATTGGGACGATTGGATTAGTGGTGGCAGTTGGTTCAAGGAGAAGTAGTAGGTTGTGACGGGGTACGATGGCTTCTCAAGCATCCCCAGGACTGATTTATAAGTTGGCAAGACGTAGTATCGTGAAGCTCTCTCATATCCTCTCATCTGGGTCCGTGTGGTGCTGGAATATGGAATATTGAGGCTGGTTGAATGCGGAAAGTGCACTTTACACAAATGACTCCTCGACTGAGAAATCCTCCACCAGGAGAACAAAGGATGCATATCTCTTCATCTCTTTTCTCATGAGAGCATTTACCCCATTTGCAATGTCATGACCTCAATTAGCACTCATGCCTCATATGTCCTGGTTCGTATCAACTTCAAGACTACTATCCTGACGTCTCTGCAACGTTACAGTTCCACGCTTGAACATGTCACCTCTGGGAATGTTGGCGGGGCTCAGGAAGTTGTGGACTCGCTTTCTGTCATACTGTTAGTCGAAGGATTAATCTTGGGCTGAGATGAATTGCCTGAAACAGAGGGAAGGACTCTTCCACGGCCCAACAACACGAAGCGATATGACAGCTTCCTGATTGTCAGTGGTCCAGGCATTGGGCATTAGACAATTATGACCAGCTCTCAAGCCTTGCAGTCCGTTTTCAGATGAGGCATTACTCAATACATGCACCTTAGCAATATGGTCAATGACAGCATACGCCCATGGTTGTGGGACGGAGGTCTATATCTTCTCCAGAGATCACTAGGAGAATGCATTCGTTGCATTGAGCATATCATACCGTTTCGAGCACTGTCCACGTTGACAAGTCATCATGAAGCACTTTCCCCTACTTTGGCTGATCCTCGCCGGAACACTTGCCGAGCCCTTTCAAGCCCCTTTCCAAGTCCCTCCAAGCAGCACAGCCCACAGCTCGATTGCTCCGTCCGCCACAGGTGTCATCAGCGATCCTCTGAAAGTAGCAAATCTATGTGATTGCCGGAGGAGGTCTCACGGGTCTCACCATCGCTGCCAAGCTTCTTGACCACCCGGATAAGTTCAACGTTCTGGTGATCGAGAGCGGATTCTACGGGTCCGAATATGGTCCCATCATCGACGATCTGAACACATACGGCCAGATCTTTGGCAGCAGCGTTGATCATGCCTATGAGACCAACCCCCAGATTCACAAGCGGGTTGAGATCGTCCGGTCGGGCAATGGCCTCGGAGGTTCGACTCTTATCAACGGCGGAACTTGGACACGTCCACACACAGACCAGGTCGATTCCTGGGAACATGTTTTTGGAAACCAGGGCTGGAACTGGGCGGGTCTGAAAAAATACATGGACGAGATTGAAAAGCCTCGAGATCCAACAAAGGACTCCTCTCATGTGACCAAAGGCCATCTCCACCATTATGAACCAAGCTGCCATAACTCTGAGCCTGACAAGGGTAAGGTCGAGGTTGGAGCGCGAGATCGAAAGACCAATTGGTCGCCACTGCTCAAGGCCCTAATGCGCACAGCCAACGACACGACAGGCGCGCCCTATCAGTTGGACCTCTGCTGCGGTTATCCGCACGGAGTGTCCATGTTCCTCAACACCCTGACCGAGAAGCAAATCCGCACGGATGCTGAGCGGTCGTGGCTGGATCCCGTGCTCAAGAATGACACGTCGAAAGCCCGCATTACTGTGCTGACCGGTCAGCTTGTGGGCAGAGTCAATCTCAAGTCGACTGGACAGGATGACCCGAAGTACAGAGCAACGGGAGTCGAATTCGGCACCCACAGCAAGGACGGCTGGAGATTCAACGTCACGGCGAACCAGGATGTTCTCCTTGCTGCTGGATCGGCTATCTCCCCTCTCATTCTGCAATATTCGAACATCGGTCCGGCCAGTATACTGGCGGAGCCTAAAGTCAACATCGAACAAAAGATCGACCTTCCTGTTGGCCTCAATCTGCAGGATCAAACCACAACCTCCGTCGTCTCATCGACCACTCCGGATGGCAACGGGCAAGGTCAAGCCGCGTACTTTGCAATTTTCGCCGAGGTATTCGGAGAACACGCGCATCATTTCGAGGCTCTGGTAAACGACAACGACACCCTGCGCAAATGGGCCGCCGATACCGTCGCCGGAGGCGGTTTCCACAACCAGTCTGCTCTCTTCCTCCAATACGTCAACTACCAAAATTGGCTGCTGGGCAAGAACAACGTCTCCTATGCGGAACTTTTCATGGACACCGACAACCGTATCCACTTTGACCTGTGGAACTTGCTGCCCTTCACGCGCGGCTACGTCAAGATCCTCGACAACGACCCCTACCTGCGTAGCTTCGAGTATAACCCCCGCTATTTCCAAAACGAGCTCGATCTGTACGGGCAGGCTGCGGCGTCGAAGCTCGCGCGCGATCTGACCCGCTCCGGGGATATGGCAAGCTATTTCGGCGGAGAGACGTTGCCGGGGGAGCTCTTGTCCGATGACGCGACCCTGGAAGACTGGGCACTCTACGTGAGGCAGAACTTCCGCGCCAACTATCACGGCATTGGGACCTGCAGCATGATGAAGAAGGAACTTGGGGGTGTCGTGGATGAAACTGCCAAGGTTTACGGAGTGGAGAACCTGCGCGTGGTTGATGGCTCTATTCCCCCTACCCAGGTGTCCTCGCACGTGATGACGGTGTTCTATGGGATGGCGTCGAAGATTGCCGAAGAGATTCTGAAGGCCTATGAGAAGAATCAGTAAGCGCGTGTAGCAGCGTTACGCGAGGTTTGCTAATATCAGGTTACAGGAAGCCACCTCATAATCAACCGCTGGCGTGGGCTGACTTGAGATAAGGCAGAGAATAAATAACTAGGCAAAGCTCCCAGTCAACGTCTTCCCAGTTCTTTCTAGAGTCATTTCAGGTGGCATCCTTAGGTGTATGAATTGATAAAAGCTAGTTCATTCTTAGTATAATACTTACTACCGACTAGTAATAACAGTCCTATTATTACTTCTATCTTCCTATGAAAGATAAGATTTGCAGCGTTTCGCGGGCACCGTCGAGCTCTACAGGCTTTGGCCCAGCTGAGGCGACTGTCCTCATCTCTGCTATACAACAGTGCAGCCATTGGATGAACTACTCAGAGGAATGAAAGGAGTGAATAAGCTGGGCAATAGCTTGAAGATCTTGATTGAAGCCATCTAAAGAAGCCGACTACCTTAGTTTCTAGGGCTAGAGGGACGTAGATACCTCAGATCTCAGGCATCGATATGACCAGACCCTAACCCCAAAATGTCCAGGTGCATAACAATCAGGCAACCATCATCAGAAATACAACATATTCATTTCTGAGATTATGAGCATACTCTTCGATCATACCTAGATTATCATGCCTGATCCCCTCAGCCTCATTTCCAGCAAGCGCTTCCACTCCCGCGTCATTCTCAATACAGCATATGGCCCGCTCACCGTCACATTCGCCGACATTGGCTGCCCCACGGGCCCCGCCCTGCTCTTCCTGCCCGGTATGTTCGCGTCGCGCTATCTAGGCATCCCTATGCACGTAATGGCAGAGCGCGCTGGTGTGCGCCTCCTCGTTGTCGACCGGCCGGGCATGGGCGCGTCGACCGATGTCCCACTCACCCAGCGCATCGCCGTCTGGGTCGATATGCTGCCACGCCTGCTGGCCCATCTCGGGGTTCCCCGCGTCAGCCTTGTCGCGCACAGCGCCGGCACGATTTACCTGCTCAATACCTGGGCGCACTGCCGTGAGGTTGTGAGCCCATTCATCGCTCTACTAGGTATCCATCCCACCCCAACTC